GATCCCAAACGATCCCTGCTAGCCTGCCCCTCATTTTCAATTGCTTACGTCATTAAATTCCTAAATTCAGAGTTTATTTGACCTCTTTAGAGAATCTTAAATGACCTCTGCAAGCTCGCCCTGAATGCGAGTAAATTACGCCAAGCAAGTCTTGACGGTGCCTTTAGAGGTTCCTAAACGATCGCTGCTAGCCCGCCCTGCCTCAAAATTTCGCAAAAAATCGGATTTCATCGAACGAAAAAGATTGCAAAATATGGGCTGGCTGCGTATGGCTAAAATTCAAACAGTTTCTCCAAAAATCTTTTGATCGACAAAAAATGATATCAATATTTTCTGGCCGGTTTCGCGAGGTAATGCAGCTTACGCCAGTCAAGAAATATCCTAAATCTTTTGCAATAAAATTATTTTGCGAAAATGTTTCAAATAATTAAATAGGTCCCAATTTTTCAGAAATTTCAATAAAGCCAATCGCCTGCCTGAAAAATCGGCCGCCGCAAATTGGACAAGGTATTTAAAAAAATCCTGGTCAACAGCTAATTTCACACCAATTACGCTATAAGATTTTTGTTTTAACGATATCCTTCACGATTTGATGTACTTCCACCAGGGGGAAAAATGAGAATCTCTTGTTTCCTTTTTTCCCAACTTATAATCTAATTAATATTTCGAGACCAAAGACCTGACCAGTGACGTCATGTAATTATGCCTTTATGGATACTTTGTTTCAGCCAAACCGTCCAAAAAGGATGTTTCATACAAATTTGATGTTGAATGGTTATAACTCGTCATAATACGTATTGATTAGCTTTTCCAAAATTTTCTATAACGTTTAAACATGATTATTATTACTGAACAAATATATTAGTATAAACTTTATTGTTCTTTCCTTCTTAATGTAGCATACCGAATTTCACAGGCGAAGCAGGCTAGCAGAGATTATTTGTGTTTAAAACTTGGGCAATCAGGAAAATTTTTTCGAAAATTCGTGTTTCATAAAAAATGGGTTTTGAATGAATTTCACAGCTCGATAATACAACATACAACACAAAATAACAGTGATTATTTGAGCCTTGGCAGATTTTTGTGCGATTAAAAAAAATATTTTTTTTGAAAGCGCATGTTTCAGAAGTGTTCATTCTGGCGAGATTTCTTCACTAGGTAATTTTGCGTCGCTCCCTCTTGCAATTTTTCTATTAAATTTTTCGATAAAAATAATGTTGCGATAAAATTGATTTTTCTGCGTTTACATTCTACCGTATTAATTCGCGGATTGTTCGCTTTCGCTCTAATCGTAACAATGACAAGAAAAAGAATTTTTTAAGGACGTATAAAACTGCTTCACGATTACGTTATAGTTTGACGCTGCTTTTGCAGAAAAACCCCAAAGTTTCACGTTCTAAATAAATAAAAATCATTAAAACTATTAAAAAATATAAAAGTCAAATCAAGAAATCCAGAATTTATTAAAACTTTTTCCAAAAATCATGTTTCATCAAAGAGCATTGTTGGGCCCTTTTGTTTTGTGGTAGTTTTTGGGATTTCCGTTCTGATTGTAACCCAGGAAAGCCTAATTCGTGTCCTTATTCAAATCTTGATACCCGGTTTTTGATTCACGATTTTCGTGTAAATCCCCGCTAAAACCCGGTTAAAACCTAAAAATGACAGACTGAAAACCGGACTTAAAAATCTGTTTCAAAAATATTCCATTTTTGGCCCGGATTGTCGATATTAATGGACTGCGCTGTTTGAACTGGCACTGTGTAACTCCTTTTAACGTTTCAATTGTTTTTAACCTAAAATATCTGCGCATTAATGGACATTTTTCTATAGAAAATTCATAAAAATTAAACTTATTTAATTAGTGGAGATAAAAATTATTAAAAGGTATGATTTTAATCGAAATCGTGCCACCCTCGAAAGAATTTGTTTCATAATTTTGGCAGGTTCCGCGCGAATTTCGAATATTACTAGGCGCGATCCAGTGAAGCTCAATTTTACTTTTTCGTGGATTTTCAGGTAATCTTTGTATGTGCGGTTTTTTCATACGGATTAATTTGTTGCATGGAATTTTGGTATTTTTCTTGCTTTGCTGCAACGCAATTTAGCAATTTCTGATGCTGACAGTAAGCCCCAAAAGATGCTCGATTTCCTTGGAATATTTTAATTTTCTGAAATCTGGGGGATATTTGAAACCTGAATCTTCTATAGAATACAAAAGAAAAACCAAAAATCGTGTGGAATATAATAATGAAATATTGGGAAAAGATAGTTTAAAAAGATTTGTTTCGAAGGTGCTCGATTTCCAGCCCGAACTCTCAGTTTTAATCACTACAACTTCGTACGCTGTTAATTTTCAGCCTAATTACTGGCACTATCTCAACTTCTCGTTTTAACGTTTTAATTATTTTTTTTTGCGGTAAAACATATCCGCATTAATAGGCGCGCTAATATACAAAATTCATAAATATCAAACTAATCAATCCGTTAAGGTAAAAATTCTTGAAACGGCTAAGATGTAGAATCGAGATCGTGCCACCCTCGAAAAAATTTGTTTCATAATTTCGGCAGGTGCCGCGCGGATTTCGAATTCGAATATACGAAAAAGTCTCGGATTAAATGGTAAGATTAAGTGATGTAGTGGCCGGGGATCGATCCATCAGACCGCCTTCTTCTCACGCTGTCCGAGCGATGGCGGCGATGCGGCCTACAAACAAAATACAGGCTCGGGTACACCCAACACTAAGCCTAAGCCATATTTTTAAGATCTGGTGTCTTAAAACTTTTCAAAATGCCGGCCGGGCGAATTGCATCCGGTTTTTTTTAGCATCCAATTCCATCGGTTAACTCTCTGAAAAATGGCACATTGTTTAAACACCTATGTTTCACATTTTTTGGATTCTTGCAAAGCCTTTCGCCTTTCAATGCGTGGCTCCCAATCATGTGAAATATTTTTTCAAGAATCCCTCGAAATGTGGCACATTTTTTTAGATTGTAAACTAATTTTAAACGTCCAGATTTCCTTTTTAAGTGAATATCGTGATTTTAAAATGCCCATTTTGTATCGAAAATTTTCAGAAATTCGTGTGTTTTACAAATGTCAGGTCAGCGGAGCAGCGGCGATTCGTTAATACTTGCAACGGGCATGAGGTTCATACAAAGTTTCACTGAAAAATTCTCGTGTTTTAAAGCATTTCAAAATACGGCGCCGCCAATTCGCTTCAATAATTCCTACCCGGGTATTGCCTCCCAATTAATCAAAATTTTTAAAAACTATACAAATTTGGCGTTAATAAAAATCAATGTTTCAGGGTTTCAGGAGTCTTGCAGAGGACTCCGCTTATTATTACCACGTTGCCAGGCTCAATTTATTGATTTTTTGAAAGCGCGGAAAAGAAAGGGAAAGAATAACAGTAAAAGTTAAAGTAAAAGACATTAGAGAATTTTCGAAATCCATATGTTTCAGGTTTCTAAGAGATACCCGAAAATTCGGCGACGTCAATTGGTCGAGCAAATGTCTAACAAAAATACGGCTTGAGTTTTACAAAAAAATAACATTTCGAGTAGCTAGCAGGGATTCTTAGGGAATGCAGAAAGATTTAGATTGCGATTGGGCAGGCTAGCAGAGACAATTTCCCAGATAAATACCTGCAAAATAATTTCGAAAATGAAATTTCTTGCTACTCATATTCAGAAAAACCTTAATTCGTAAAATTTGCCAACAAATTTAAATGTTTCAAGATTTTGGGGACTCTCAAAAAAAATTTTCGACGTTTAATAATTGCCAAGTGCTTTCTTCAAGCCTCAAATTACCGCTTCAAAAAAATCGGCAAATAAAATTTAGAACGCTTCGATGTATCGTTAATTTTTAACCCAAAATTTAATTTGCAAACCCCGAAAATTTGAATTTTACAGGTTTTTAAGGAGTACGAGCAGTTTTGGGGCTTGCTTGCTGCTTTAAAAAAACGCCATCTTCTAGGATGGCTGGCAGGGATCCTTAGAGAGTGCCTAAAAATGAGATCGAGCAATGGGGCAGGCTAGCAGAGAACATTCGAAAAAAATAGCTACAAAACGAGCAAAATTACGTTTGAAAGATTCAATTTTTCGCAAATTTTTAAGCAGAAAAATTGATTGTCAAACTCGCCAAAAAACAAATGTTTCAAAATTTTGGGAAGTCGCAAAAAATTTGCGCCGTTTAATGCATGATGGTCGCCGCGCTCATTTTTCCCGCTAGTCTTCTAGGTGTCTGGCAGAAATTCTTAGGGAATACGCAAAATGAGAACGTGCTATTCGGCAAGCTAGCAGACACCATTTGGCCTAAAAATAACTGCAAAACAAATTAACAAAAATTTGCAAAATTAAATCTTTCATAATTTTGTCGGGGGTCGTTTCGGTTTTTACAGTTCAATCCGTGATTATTGGCGGAAATGGCTCTAGCTAAAACTACATTAACTTCGGGCAGGCTAGCAGAGACCATTGACCCAAATAACCTTCAAAATGAGCAATTATTTTTTGGCGGATTCGTTGTCTTATAGCTTTTTTGGAGCGTCGTGTCCGTGTTTACGATTAATCCTTTTGCCGGTTTCCTTTCCTAACAATTCTGGTATTTTCTACATTTTAAAATGATGGCTAAAGGTCCTTGGGGAGCGCGCAAAAAATGAGTTCGAGTCCCCATTCGCCATTAGGAAATCCCCCAGGAAATCCGCAAAATCGACATTCTAGGAATTTTCGATTGCCTCCAACTTTTTGTAGTTTGTCCGTAGAACCATAATCCTTCCGGGACCCGTTAAACTGGCGTAAAAACTACAAAATACAACCAGTTACAGTAGACCTATTCCCCGTTTAAAGCAATCTGTCGGACCGCGGTAAAATTATGCGTTCGCGATTTTTCTACCGGTTCTAACGTTTTCTAGTTTGTAGGTGGGTTCCTAATTTTTGGGAGAATTGCTAAACTGACAGCCAGACTACAAACTACAATCGGTAGGCTTGCGCAAAAGGATTTATTTCGGCTTCCGTGGCGGTGCGTGCATATCCCACACGTTCAGCACGTGACGCATCGCCTCGTTTGGGTCCCTAAAAAGAAACAAATCAATTTTTAAAAATTCCGTATGCTAAACTGGCTGCCAAATTCCCCAAAAATCCCCGCTAGATTGCCCTACACGATCTGCGTCTCCAGCTGGACGGCTCCAACTCGTCGCGGGTGGCGGCCCCATTTTGGCCGAAATTCCGGGCATCGCCACAGGCACATTAATGGGAGGGAGAGGTACATTGTAGGGAATACGGCCGCGGAGTACGATTCCTGAATTTAGGATATTTTAAACTGCTTCCTAAATGGTCTCTGCTAGTTGCCCCAAAGGTCGATGGTTCGATCCCTCCCGCCGCCTAACTTTTTGCTTTTTGAGAATTGAGGTTATTTTTTCGCATTGGAAAGAAAGAAAACAGGCTAGAGACTACAAATTTTGGATTGGGCTTACAAACTACAGACAAAACTACTAGGCGCAGGATGCAGGTTCGATTCCCCGCCGAAGCAAACTTTTTGCGTTTTGAGAATCTGGCTGATTTTCGCTTGGAATCAATCGTCTGGCAACCAGAGTAAAGACTACAACCTTTGGAAAGGGGCTACAGACTACAGAAAAGCTTCAGGCGGGTGTCCCGGGCTCGATTCCTTGCCGGGGCATCCCTTTTCGCTTTTTGAAGATTTGATAGGTTTTTTTGGTTGAAATGGATAAACTAAAAACCATACTCCCAAACACAGCTTCAAAAATCATCTACAGTACCCCTAGACGTCGATAGGGCTGATTCGAAAAAGTGCCAAATTCGGGATTTTCGCCCAATTTTCGGATGTGTCTAGCTTTCGTAGTCTGTAGCTAGAAGTCTAATTTTTGCGCAATTCGCTAAACTGGCAGCCAGTCTACAAACTAGACGATATCCGAGCCTACAAAATACCTTAAAAATCGCGTAATTCCTCTGCGGAGCGATGGTGATGTTGACAATGATGATGGAGGTGATTTGCATAGCCAAACTGATGGCACAGAATACGAGTACGGCAGGCAACAACCAACGCAGCGACTTCAGACTCCACCGTAGCTCGTAGCGTGATGAGAGCATTGGGGAGGAGCTGAGGGAGAGCCTGAAAAAATAATTCTCCGAAAACTAATTTAATTTTTTACGTATTTTTAAAGACTGGAAAGCTGTGTCGTTTGTAGCCTACTTGTCAGTTGGGCCATTCCAAAAGAACTAGGCTTCTAGCTACAAACTACGAAGAATTCGAGCTATTTGAAAATTAGGCAAAATCTCATTTTTTTTTTTGGATTTTCCGCGTGATTCCTGTTGACATTTGGGGGTACTGTAGATGATTGTTATGATCTATTCGAAAGAGGAGAATGAGTTCTATCGCATCCCAACACTATCATCTACCCTATCCCTAGATCTAGCCACTTAAAGGGGGCGGAACACCCCGAAAACCTCCATTTTGACCCCTTTTCCGAATGGCTCCTATTTACGATCTGGGGCAGTATAGCCAATTTCAGTGTTTGGAGTATGTAGTCTGGATAACACTTAACTAGTTGGGACCAAAAGCTATCCAAAAATTCGAAAACGCAAAAAGTTCGCCGCGGGCGGGGGTCGAACCCGGGCCGCGCCCCTTGTAGCGTTTTTGTAGTCTGTAGCCCCGATCCAAAAGTTGTAGTCTGTAGGCCAGCAGCCAGTTTAGCCATCGAAACCAAAAATCAACAAAACTTTCAAAAAACAGAGCAATTTATTCATTCTTTATTTTTCATTTTTGAAAGTACGTACCTCGTTCTTTTTCGCGTCAAAATATGCAGTATAATTAAGGCAACCGCATTAACGATATTAGCGGGTGTGGTCCATTCGATAAGTGTCCAAAACGAGGCAGTGCCTACGGTAGTCGATGCACAATACGGTAGATACCTCCCCGAATCGCCCACCCAGAAACCACGCCACGCTTTCGCCACCGTTTCTGGTAGGCTGTACCACTGAAACGGATCTCTTAGGCTTGGCTTAGGCTTGGCTCAGGCTTGGCTTAGGCTTGGCTTAGGCTTAGGCTTAGGCTTGGCTTAGGCTTGGCTTAGGCTTGGCTTAGGCTTGGCTTTGGCTTGGCTTAGGCTTAGGCTTAGGCTTAGGCTTAGGCTTAGGCTTAGGCTTAGGCTTAGGCTTAGGCTTAGGCTTAGGCTTGGAGGTCACCCCGGGAAAACGGCCATATCGATAGGCTAACGAAAATTTTGGAGTTTTTCTTTTTTTCTTGCATTCCAGGGTGATTTTTTGCGCTCTTTTTCATGAGATTTTTTTATTTAGCAATTCCATCTTACGTAATTGCCCTAAATATATAAATGGTGCCCTAAATGGTGAATGCTAGCTTGCCATTACGAAAAATCGCCCAGAAACCTCCGAAAACCCATTTTATTCCAATTTTTCGAGCTTCCTCAATGCTCACTGCTAGCCTGCCCTTCAATCTGTCAGCCAGTTGACCAAATGCCGTTTTCCCAAATGATCTCTGCCAGCTTGCCAACTTGGAAAATCCGAAAAAAATGCCGAAAAACAAAACAAACAAAAAGTGCTCTTTTTTGTATTTCTAAAATTTTTCCCGATTCCTAAAGGGTCTCTGCTAGTTAGCTGCCAGCCAGTTGACAATTTGCACCAAAAAAACCGACGACCTACCGTAGCCCCAGCCACGAGAATCACCAGCGGAATACAGCGTATCCTCTCGTAGTTGTGGGCAAAGAACAAGGCGACGCCCCTTTCTACCGTAATCAGAATATAGGTGATTGGGATTACCTTTAAAACCGTTGATAATTTTAATTTAAGAAATACCTTAACGGCCGGAAGTGTGATCGAGCTTATGGCAGAACAGAACGAATATTCCTCCAGGAATACGCATGGGTCCTGAAAAAAATATTTTTTTTGTAGGAAAAGCTAAACTGGCAGGCAGACTACAAACCACAATGCCGCTACAGAACCCCCAGACGTCAATAGTACCAACCCGGAAAATTGCCAAAATCGCGATTTTTGCCATGTTCCTTCCCCTTTAAATGGCTAGATATGGGGATACGGTAGATGATAGTGTTGGGATGTGATAGAACTCATTCTCCTCTTTCGAATAGTTCATAACAATCATCTACAGTACCCCCAAATGTCAACAGGAATCTACCGGAAAAGCGGGAAAATTGGATTTTCGCCAGATTTTCAAGTGAGTCAATTTTTTTGTAGTTTGTAGTTAAGCCTCTAATTTTGGTGCTAATCGCTAAACTGAAATGCAAACTACAATGTGCAAACTTTGCAAGAAGATTACAGACTACAATGAAGCCATAAGGCGAGCTACTCGGGTTCGACCCCCGGCCGCGCCTGACGTTTGCTTTTCGGAAATTTAAACGATTTTTCGAATGGCATGGCTAGGCTGACAACCAGACTACAAACTCCAATTAAATTTACGCCTTGCCGGCCCCTTTAAAAGTAGCAAATCCGATCTTAAGGTGAACAACGAGTCCCGGAGCCAGCAGGCCAATTTTTTGCCCTCAACGGTCCTTAAAAAACCCCCGTACCTACCGTATACGCCCCAACCAGCAACCTTAGCCGTAAAATGGCGCGTAACGTCGTGAAAGCGGTGCGGAACATCATTCCCAAAATGACGTTGAGGAGGATGAGACGCAAATGGATGTGGACGTGCTGGAAAAGGGGGTGGGAGAGACAGCAGAGACCATTTGTGGAATGTTAAATAACTGAGGCTCTAAACTGGAGGGAAGGCTACAGACTACAACTTTTATTTTGAGGCTACAGACTACAAAAAAGCTAGGAAGCGAACGACCCGAGTTCGACTCCCGGCCGCGGCGAACTTTTTGTTTTTGAAAATTTAACGGATTTTTTGGTCATAATACCCAAACTGTCAGCCAGACTACAGACTACAACTTAACTTTGGGGCTACAGACCACAGAAAAGTCACCAGGCGAGCGACCCGGGTTCGACCCCCGCCCGCGACAAAACTTTTGCTTTTCGAATATTAAGCTTATTTTTCTATTGGAATACCTAGACTGGCTACCAGACTACAAACTACACGTAAAATTATGCAAATGACACGCTAAATAAAATGAGAAAACCGCAGATTCTTGCTTTTTAATTTTTTCTGTAAAAATTCTGTGTTACCGGATGTTGAAATAGTTTGACGGCCACATAGCTGCACGAGATCAACACGGTCAGGTTGACGATGACCAGGTAGATGAAAATCGGGGCAACAGCCTACAAAAAAAACAAAAATGATTTTTTTCGAAAAAAATTCGAATTTCCCGCCAAATTCCGCACCTCGGTAATTTCCTTGGCCTGCGTGCAGTCGTTCATATATAATTCTAAAGCACACTAAAAAACCACAATTAAAACAGAATATCCCTATTTTTTTTTTAAATTCATAATTAAATTCAAAATTTTCAAAAAGATCAAATGCTGAATTTTTCAATATTTTTTTGCCTTGAAGGGTCCTTTAAAATGTCGGTAAATTGATTTTCCAGGTGCCGGGAAGTCATTTTGACAGGCCACGCCCCTTGGGCCCCGAAAAGGGATTTAAAGTTTTGTTTTTTGGCTTACAAGGGATGGCAAAAAATGGCTACGTATTTTTCCGGCCTCTCGATAGCCAAAAAAAGAAATGTTCCGTTTGCAGCCATTCTACCTTGTGCTCTGGCAGCCAGTTTGGCCGCTCCCGCGACAATTACGACACAAACAGGCCTGAGAACGAAAATAGAGGCACATTCGCCGCGACAATGTCGCAACTTTTAACTTTGAACCCAAAAAGCCCGTTAAGATCGAATTTTCCCCGATTTTAACGGGCCAGTGAAGTCGATGAAGGGGTGTGGCCTGGCCGGTGTCTTGCCAATCCCTTTAAAACAAATTTACACACGCAAAAAAAAACCAAAAAAATGTCAAAATTGTAAAATTTTAAAAATCAGGATTTTAAACCTGAAAATTTAAAACAATCGGGGAAATTTATAAAAATCCATTTTTTTCCAAAAAACGCCGAAAATCGATATTTTCTCAAAAATCGACCGTTTTGTAGAATTTTTGCCTAATGTTAAATATCGGGTTTTCGAAAAATGCCGACATTTTAAAATTTCCTAAAGAATCCCGAAATTCGGTATTTTTTAGAAATCGACAGTTTCGAAAACGTCACAATTCGACGCAACTTTTAACTTTGAAGCCAAAAAAGCCCTTTAAGATCGAATTTTCCCCGATTTTAAAGGGCCAGTGAAGTCGATGAGGGGGCGTGGCCTGGCCGGTGTCTTGCCAATGCCTTTGAAACAAATGTACGCGCACTTAAAGGGCCACTGAAGGCAAAAAAACACCAAAAAAAAAATGTCAAAATTGTAAACGTTTGCAAATCAAAAATTTGCAGCGGGTAGTTTGGCAGGCAGTTCAGGGAGTGACAGCCTTTTTGAGAGGTAATTCAGCCAAAAATGGAGGGCGGAATTGACTTGGGAAAATAATTAGCTGGTAGGCAGTAGAAAGGGCACCAAAACGGGCCAAGCCTATGATTTCCTGTTCCGTTTTTCGTTCTTTCTCTCTGTCTCTCTCTCTCTCTCCTCTCTCGCCTGAAATACCTCCTGATTTCTGTCGCCCGAATTATGCGATGACGCGTATTTTCTCAAAAAAAATGTTTTTGAAAAGTTTTTGCAAATTTGTTTCCCCGAATCTAGGAGCCTGACCGGAAATTGGGCTATCTGCCCCTGCTGGCAGCCAGACCACCAACTACAAACGTTATTTTGGGTCTTCAACGCACGCGAAGTCGACAAAAAAATCGAGGTTCAGAGCGATGGCCGAGCGGTTAGCGAGCTCGTCCACCAGTCCAAGGGTCGAGGGTTCGACTCCCGGCCCCGGCAAATGTTTGGCTTTTTGAAAATTGGGCTCGAATTTTTTTGGAAAAATGCCCAATTTTTTGGGATTTTGCTCGAATTCAATCCGGAAAGTGCCGTACTCGCGTGGAATTTCTCTCCAAGCGCGTTCATTTTAACGAGAAAAAGGAAAGCAGCATTTCAGCAAAATAGTCAGCAATTCTCGAAAAGGCAAAAAAAGAATTTTCAAGCCAAAAAAAACAAAAAATTCACGCGCAACCCGATGGCCGAGTGGTTAGCGAGCTCGTCTCCCAATCCGAGGGTCAAGGGTTCGACTCCCGGCCGCGGCAAATGTTTTGCTTTTTGAAAATTGGGCTCGAATTTTTTTGGAAAACCGATTTTTCGTGCGGGTGTAAAATTTCTCTCCAAGTGCCTTCATTTTAACGAGAAAAAGGGGGAACAGACAAAAAAAGGGGCAAAGAAAAAACACAGACATCTGAAATGTCGAAAGCGGATATCGGGGGGAGGGGAGAGATAATATATACGGAGGCAGAGGGCGGGAGAGAAGGGATTTTTTTGTTTAAAGCGAAATAAGTGAGGGGAGTGGACGATAAAAACACAGAACGGGAGAGAGAGAGAGAGAGACAGGGGGAGAGGGCGAGAGAATGAGAGAGTCAGTAGGGGCGAGAGAAAGTGAGGCGAGAGAGGCGAGAGAGACAAGTGACACGAGAGAGAGAGAGAGAGAGCGAGGGAAAGGGAGGGAATGCCGTGCGGTGATGGTGATTTTTGGTTTTATTAATTGTTTGTTTTTTACATACCCGTTGTAGAGATTGGAGAGATTTTTGGAAGGGGCAAGCCGAGTTCGACAATTGGGCAAATTTTTGCGAAAGCGATTGGCGAAAATTTGGTAGAATTTTTGCCGAATTTTAAATTTAGATGTTCCGAAAATGCCGACATTTTGGAATCTCGAAAAATGCCGAAATTCGGGATTTTCAATAAAATTCGAATTTTTCGACGAAAATGCCGAAATTCAGAATTTTCGTGAAAATTCGGCATTTCCAAGAAATCGTCATTTTCGAGACATCTGATTTTTCCACGAAAAAAATGCCGAAATTCGATATTTTCAAAAACGACCGATATTTGGAATTTGCTAAAAAATGCCGAAATTCTTATTTTCCAAAAAATAACGAATTTTCGAGCGAAAAACCGCGATTTTTCAGAAAATGATTTTTTAGAAATGCCGAAATTCTCGATTTTCCGAAAATCGATTACGACATGTAAAAATTCGGCCCCAAAAAATGAGCACGACCCGATTATGCCAAAATCCCAGGGAGGGGAACCCGTTTGGTGTGACTAGAGAGAGACAGGGCAGATAGATAGATAGAGACTGGGAACCCGAAAAGAGAGCAGAGCCCTCGAAAAAAGAAACAATTAAATCACAAGCACATCATACACCAATTTCAAATTTCAATAAAATTGCCTCTCCGCTCCCGATTCTCTTGCTCTCCCCTCAATCATTCCCGTAGGCTGGCCATTCGCGCAGCTCGCCACGTTTTGACCCGCGCTGCGGCTTCACCTGAAAAATGGGGGGTTTTATAGAGAGAAAAATAGAGAAAAATCGATTTTCCTGGAAAAATGGGAAAAATCATGGCCGAGTGGTTAGCGAACTAGTTTCTCGATCCAGGGGTCCAGGGTTCGATTCCCGGCCGCCGCAAAAGTTTGACTTTTCGGAAATTGAGGAGAGTTCTGGGTCAATTTTACTAGACAACTTCTAATAATCGATTTTTTAGAAAAAAAATTGGTAAAAAATAACGAAAATTTGAATTTAAAAAATTTAAAGGTTATCGCTAATTTTCTAGGAATTAGAAACTACTTAAAACATATAAAAAGAGGGTATATATTTGATTCGTCACTCAATTGGATCAATGAAGCAGAAAAAATCACGCGAAACGCGGCGGCCGAGTGGATAGCGCGCTAGTCTATCAATCCGAGGGTCGAGGGTTCGACTCCCGGCCGCGCCAAACTTTTTGCTTTTTGAAATTTAAGCCGATTTTTGATTGAAATGGCTAAACAGAGTAAAAAACGTACATGTGGGTGCTTCGTGTCGAGGATAGATCGGCGATCGGGTGGTGGGGCATCCGCTCGACGCCAATGGCACGTGATCATGTACGCTGTACGGAACTGAAAAAAATAAGATTTAACTCGATATCGGCTTATTTAAAATTATAGTTTCATTATAAAATCACCAAATTAAAATTAAAATTATCTTATTTAAAATCATAAAACTATTAAAAAACTTAATTTTTCAATTTTTAATTATTTAAAAAAGTTAAAAAATATTACCTAGACAACTTTCGAATTTTAATGAGACGCGAAAGCGCCAAAAACACGCAATGGAAATACCTTGGGCAATCCGACGGTGTCGACCATATATGAGCGATAGTTTCGTGCGAGAATATCGATCAATTCCCCTGGGTAATGATCGGTATGCAGGATGACATGTTGAAGATCTGGCATTCGATAGTAGTCCGTGATGAAATGAAGGATCTCCGGTCGGCACACTACCTGCAAAAAACACCATTTTAAAGGGAATGGAAAGCAAAATAAAAGCCATTTTTAAAGCGGTTACGCCATGAAATTCATCGAATTTCCGCGCGTAATCGATAAAAAAAGAGCGATTCGTCCCTTAGCGGCCATTTTAAAGGGACTCGCAAGGCAAAAAGCGCAAGTAAAACCGCACCGCCGATTTTAACGAGTTATTTTAAACCGGTTACACCATGAAATTCGGTTAATTTCCACGCGTAATCGATTAAAAATAGCGATTTCTCCCGCTACAGCCATTTTAAAGGGACCGGCAAGGCAAAAAAGGTATCCCCTAACCAGTTACGCTACGAAATTTTATCAATTTGAAATTCCCTAGCGTAATCGATTACAATGACCAATTTCTGCCTAAAAAATCCTAAAATACCGACATCAGTCTCGACGGTGTTCAGCTTGGGCGGGGTGAGCTTCTTGAGGAGGTTGTAGACGAACAGCGGCGTCACGCGGGGCAACTCGTTGAAGATGAACGTCTTCAGGCCCGGCAGACGCTGAAAGAAACAATATTCGTAAACGCCAAAAAATGCTGCGCACCTCGACGACGTCGGTCATCTTCGAGTCGCGCACGTTGATGCCCTGGATCTTGAGATGGGTGACGGTAGAGGGGAGGGCGTCAAGAACATCACCAACCAACTAAAAGGGAATAAGGGATTGTAGATGAACAACAAAGCGGACCTGTTCGTATTCGCGGGCTATCGACGAGATGCTGAACTTCTCGAGGGTGTTCTGCTGGTGCAGGTTGGCGGCTAGGGCCCTGGAAATGAAATGATCAGCAGGGCGGGAGATATATAGAAAGAAACACAGCGAGAGAGCGAGAGAGAGAGAGAGAGAGGAAGAGAGAGGGAGAGATAGAGAGAAACGTACTTGAGAATGGTTTTGCACTTTGGCCCGGCGAGTCGATAGGAAAAGCCGCCAAAGTCGAACGATTTCAGCCGCATCCAGTAGAGACCTGAAACAGGATATATACATAGCGTAATCGGATAGGATACCTTTGACGAGTGCCTCGAGATTGTCAAGTTCTTCTTGGCTTTGCACCGGCAGGCCAATGTCGAGTTCGGACAGCTGCAAAAAAAGAATATTTCAAAACAGCGAAAAAAGGCACTGACCTTGCTGAACTGGAAGCAGTCGCGGGCGACGGCGAACAGCTTGGGGCTGTGGCGAGGGTCGCCCTTCCTGAAAATGAAGAGGCAATTTAATGAATCTGTTCAACTTATCCCAAAACCCTTAAAAATCGGAAATTTCGACGATTTTTAAATCAGTTCATATGCGTAGTTTTTTTACCAAATTCCAAAATAAACACGAGAAAAAGCTCTTCGGTACCGGAAATGTAGACGGAGATCCTTTGCCCGTTCGGCGCATCGTTTCAGGAACACCCAGCCGTCTGCTGCCGTCACCTCGGTGCTAACAAACGGATAGTTATTAACAAAAACAAAAAATCCAGAAAACCTGAATGCCTGCTCGTCGATGAAGACGTCGAGGGTGTCGAGACGATGGTAGAGCGTCTCCAGGGCCACAAGAAATCCCTCGCCCTGCGACGTCAGACTGAACATGTTGATCGAGAACGTGCGCAGCCGGCGGGTGATCAGCTTCTGAAAAAAGGAGAATTTAGTAGAAACGGCGCGAAAAACGTACATTTTCGTATTTCATAATAAAGAAATGCTAGAAAAATAACATTTTTAAATTTAAAAAAAGATAAAATCAACAATTTAGCATATTTTCAAGCACCAAAAAACACAAAATTTTCTAAAAATCGCAAAAATTTTCCATTTTTGCAAATTGATTTTTTAAACAAATTTAGAAGCTAAAATCAGCAATTTAGCGTAATTCTTAAAACGTAAAAACTGACCCTCATGGCCAGCTCGACAATGTTGGGCGTCGTCTGGTCGAAGGAGCACCGGTTGAAGCTCAGGTGGGCCAGCCGATGCGGGAATTTGCACGCCGGGGAGAGCACTGAAAAAACGGGGTGAACGCCTTGATGATGACGCCCAAAAAATCGCAAAAAAAAACCGGCCAAAAACGTACAGTACTGGCTGGCGCCGTGGTCGAAGACGCAGTTGGCAAAGTCGATGGCCGTGACGGCGGGCAGACGCTCGTCAATGTACTGCAGCAGGCCCGCCGTGCAGAGCAGCTGGAAAAATGGGATGAAAACTAGACATAAAAAAGATTAATTCATTTTTAAAGACCAAAAACCGGAAAAAAATTCGAGAGAATCGTTGAACTGCTCGCTGACGCGCCGTGTCAAACCCCCCCCGAAAAATAAAGAAGAAAATTAAACCCTAGAAATCGTGAAAATTTGACCAAAAAAATTCGCTTTTGAAAGAACTCTACGACCAATAATCGCTGAACGGCTAGCTGACGCGCAGCATGTCCGTAGGGGATCAGGCCAGCGCAACACGCGACGCGTCTGCTGCGTGTTGTCAAGAAAAACAGGGTCTAAAGCAGCTCAAAAAACGCCGAAATCGAGCTAAAACGAGCTGAACTGCTCGCTGACGTCTGTATGGAGCGACACGCAACGCGATCCCCAAAAAATCGTAAAAAAAAATACGATAAAACCTAGTCCGCAGCCCGAAAAATCGATAATCGTACTCCTTGGCGCGCCCGCCCGGCTTGTCGTAGATGAAAAACCCTTATTCGACGCAGCTTCTCCTTTCCTTCAATCCGCCTTGACACCCTAGTCGAGAACCCGGAAAACACGAGAAACCTACCCGGAAAAAAACGATAAAAAATTGTGTAAACAAAATTACCAAATGGCCGAGCACGCCGCGGGCGCTGTCCTCCTCCGAGATGACGCCAATCTGCAGACGGTGGATGTGCTGCGGGCCCACGCGAGACACGATACGGTCGATCAGCGTCACTGAAAAATGAAATAAAAAACGGCAAAAATTTCCATTTCTAAAAATTGCCAAAAACGTTAAGTAAAATGAAATTGTTTAAAACGTAAATTAGTTTTTAGAACGTTATTTTAATCCGCAAAAGTTTTTTAAATTTCAAAATATAATTGTCAAGGCTAATTTCAAAAATTATGTGTAAAATTACAGCTAAAAACAACCGATTTTTCGAGCCAATTTTGCGAAAAACGTCAAATTTTGGAAAATTCCCAAAAAATCCCTGCTAGCATGCCAGCCTGAAAGATCCCAAATTCCGCAAAAATCACTGCTGGTTTGCCCTTTTTGCCAAACCGTCAAATGTGATCAAAAAAACGTCAATTTAAAAAAAAATGGAAACGCAATAACATTTTTTGGGGTTTTAAAACAAATTTTTAATCTATTTAAATAAATCGAATAGCACGAACTTATTTCGGGGGGCTGCTGGCCGACGGGATAATCGCCTCGGGAATTCTGGGTGAGGGCATCGACCCGCGACGTCATCTCAATCGTCCCAATGCCCACCGTCAACGCCGCGCTGAACCAGTGCTGAAAAAAAGGCAAATAAAAGTAATTACATAAATGCTTAAAAAAACCGTAGTCAGAAAATTCTAAAAAAAACCAGAACATACCCGAAAAGTGAGGCGCAACGTCTCCGGGTACAGCGGGAATGCGAACGGGGTCTTCCGGGAGAGATGGTGGAACTGTCGGCTCACGTGGTCCAGCGCGGCGCGGCTCTGAAAAAAAAAGGGATGAAAAATTACCCGAAAAACGTTTTCTCCGTTATGTTAGGCCTTCTTTAAGTATATTTTTTCAGAAAAAAATGGATTTTTCGAAAAATTTGCGGCCAAAACTTACAAAAATCAAATTTTAAAGCGAATTTTCGTGTAAAGACTCCTCGTCGATTTCAAATCCGCGCAAAATATGGCCTAAGAATTCTAGTTTCTGCCGTTTCGCGTGGAAAAATTCGATTTCTATCCTCTTGCGCTGAAAAATTTCATAAGCAGCGACGAGAGGCGAGTTTCAAACGCAAAAAGCTAGCTCAAAGCGCACGAAAATCGAAATCTACAACTGCTAATTACTAAAAATTTTCGGCTACTCTTTTCTTCGTCGCTGAATGAATTATTTTAGGCTGTTCCAGATTGTGGATTCAAAATCCGCGCAAAAATTGGCCGAAAACATCGATTTCTAGCCGGTTGCGCTGAAAAATTTCGTAAAGAGCGGCGAGAAATCATTTTTTAACCCAAAACGGGCCTAGAAACTGGGGTTTCGTTGAAATTTCTAAAAACAGAAAAAGGAACAAGAAAATTTGTCGTTGTGCCTTGAAAACTTGAAAAACGGCATTAAAAATGCACCTTCAAATCGACGACGTTGGACACGATCTGCTCCATGAGATGCGGAATGTTGAGGACACGATGGATACTGTTGATCTGGGCTGATGTCGTGGCCAGGGGGATGTCGCTCGTGTCTTGATTCGGCGCCGCCGTCCGCTGCATCTCCGCGATTGCCGTCAACGTTTGCGTCGCATTGTGCTCCGCGATTCGACTAGAAAAAATAAGAAATTATTGCTTATTAAAAGGAATCTAAATAAAATCAATTACTCTTTTCCTACTAGAAAATTTTATATATGCTTTTCTCGTTTTAATCAACAATTATAGATTTTTCAAAGTCTTAATGCCAAAATTAAGATAAAGCGGTTTTATTAAGATCCAATTTTTCAAGTCAAACGAAAGTGTTTCTAAACTGCTTTTTTTTGCTGTTTCTAAACGTAAAACTAAAAAATTAAAAAAATTTTACTAAAAAATACAAAAATAGCAAATTTTTCGACGAAAAATGACCGTTTTTTTTGACAAAAAACCCAAAATGTCGCCTTTTTGAAAGTCTACGATAGTTTTTCGAGTTAAAATATAGTCTTATTTTACTAAAAACGCTGAAAAAAATCCTTACGAGCAATTTCTAGACCTATAAAAAAATTTTCGAAATGTCTAGTAACGTCAGAAAAATTATTTATTAATGTTTTCATACTTAAAACTTTCATAAATTCAAATAAAACGCACCCAAAATCTCCCCAGCTCATGGGCCTGTTGGCAGCAGCAGCAGCAGATGAGGCGGTAGATGAAGTGTTGTTGTCGCCCTTGTTGTCCCCGTCAACTTCCATCCAGAGCTGTTTTTGTGTGGCGAGATTTCTGGGGATGTTTGGGCTGAAAATGACAAGTTAGAAATTTTGAAAAGCTAGGCCAATTGAGGACAAGAAAATGAAAAAATCTAGTTTGAAAAAATCAGCGATCCTGATAAAAATCGAGCTTTTTTTAAAAATTGGCGAAGTGAGGACAAAAAAAATGAAACGAAAAGCTCGTCGAAATATTTCCGAGCATATAATTAGCAATAGAAAACGATTCTAACTCGTTTTTGCAAGTAACTATCGCTGAACAGAGAAGGGCACGCGCCGAAGCGAGAACCGAAAAGCAAGATTTCAAGGATCCAACTTCACTGAAAACCAGGTTTTTCTACAGTTTAGCGAGAGCACGAAACACGAAAATCAAAGCGTGTTTGAAGGAAAAATGCAGGAGAACAAGGACTTTGAAAAGATGTTTTTCACTAATAAAAAAGCTACGGGAAGACGGCGAATCTTTTGCTGGCCTAAAAAGTAAATGTCCAGCGTTTGCGAGACGCGCCCGAATCTAAACAGGTCGTATCGGGTGGAATTTACCAAGGTCAATCACAAGGCAACGTTTTCAAAGCGCGAACGAAAAAATGCCACGAAATAGGGACGATTGACGCCAAAAAGCAAATTTCAACGCGCACAGGGTGGGATCGTTCCACTCTAAATTTCGGAATAGGGAATAGCGCCATCATCCAAGAACAAAGACAAAAAGGAGCTGCTCATGAAACGCAACTTTTAGCCGAAATTTTAGACCAAAATGGAAGACGAAAAAGGGAGCGATTTCGCCAAGTCTAGAAGCCAAATCCGAGTCGAAATAGGCACGGGGAGCGGGAAATGATCGCCGAACAGCCTAATTTCCGGTAAAAATGATGGAGAAGCACCCCAGGTGGATTTTAGGCCAAAATGGAAGGAAAGGAAGGAGAGGAAGCGATTTCGCCAAGTCTAGAAGCCAAATTTGAGTCGAAAAAAGCATAGGCTGTAAATGATCGCCGAACAGCCCAATTTCCGCAACAAAAGTAATAGAGCAACGGCATCCCAGGTGGATTTTAGGCCAAAAATTCGAGCCGAGCCCGCCTCTAGAATCGATGGGTAAACCGTCGCGGAAAAACGTCAATCAAACGTGGTATCGGCTAGAAAACGAAGGCCTTTTGAAGCGCGGTAAAACTTTGGGAAAGACTTTACGCGAATAAAAAGTGTTTTCGGATAGTTTTCGTATGGAATGCCCGCGCAACAGGGAAAGCGAGAGCGAGTGAAAACGAAAACGCCAAGAAATAGGGCCAATTGAGGGCGATTCGTGCCCAAAGGAGGACCAAGAAAGGCGAATTTGCCGTAAGGTTGGGGATTGATCATCTAAAGAAAACTAGAACGGGCTACAAGGATTTGAGCACTAATCAACAACAAATTTTAGAATGCAACGAGTGGATAACGGAACAATTTCCTTTCCGCAACAAAAGATAGAGCAACGGCACCCCAGGTTGATTGAGGCCAAAAATGCGAGCCGAGCCCGCCTCCAGAATTGATGGGTAAACCGTCGCGGAAAAACGTCAATCAAACGTGATATCGGCTAGGAAACGAAGTCCTTTTGAAGCCCGGCAAAACTTTGGAAAAGGATTTCCAAGAATAAAAAACGTTTTTAAGCTAGTTTTTGAATGGAATGCCCGCGCAACAGGACATGGAGAGCGAGGGAAAACGAAAAATTTCCAGAAATAAGGCCAATTGAGGACGATTTGCGAGCAAACCCCCCAAAAAAGAAATTTTCACCGTGAAATCGGGCTCGATCTTGCAAGAACAACTACAAATAGCGTCAAGAAGTTGTTCACTAAACAAAAACAACTTTTAGACAAGCGTCAGGACGCGATTTCGTGAATACCAAAAGCCAAGAAAAGCAAAAATCGACAACCGAAAGAGGCGCCACAGTGCGGAAAATGATCCTGAAGCCTAATTTCCGAAAAGGAAGCGAAAAAGAAAAATTGGGAGGAGCAATAAAACATAGAGCCCAATCCGTGAAAAGGTAAACTAGGTTTTTCAAAGCGAGTTCGCGCCTGGAAAGCGTGGATCTCAAGAAAAACTAAAAGATTTGCTACACGCTTTCGACCATGTCTCGAATCATGAGCGAAAGGGAGAGCGGAAAAATCGTAGCTTCAAAAACGATAAAAGAATACGAATAAAACTATCTAAAACGTTTAAGAATGGCAAAAAAATCGAGAAATCCGAAACAACCACGACTAAAATACCAAAAGAAGACCGCTGAAATTTAAGGCTATCTAAAGGTAAGGAAAAACTGGAAATCTGAATAAATGAAACTATTATAAAAAGAAGAACCAGGCCTGGGAATTTGGCGGGTGGCCCGAGCTGGGCATAGGCTGGCCCGGCCGGGCCGGGCCAGGGCCGAGATTTTCGAGTTTTGAGCTGGCGGGCTGGCCCGGGCCGGCCCGTCAATACATGGAGGCTGGCCGGGCCGGCCCGCCACCTTGCCAACAAGTTATTTGAGTTTAAATGAGGTAATTTAATTACATTATAAGTTTTCCTTATTGATATTCAACTTAAATCATCTGTTTAAACAGTTAAAAGTAAAAAAATCCGAGTTTTGGCTTAACTTTGATTTATCAGGAAAACGACCCGGGTTCGATCCCGGCCGAGGTCAATCTTTTGCTTTTTGCTTTTTTTGGCCGGAAATGTTCAGAAATGCTGGGAATATGCCTTGTTAGCCTTATTAAGTGTATTAGCGTTCAAACTACACGTGGACGTCAAAGAAATTGAACTCCACTAAGTAAAACAGACTTTTTTCTATTGAACTAAAGATGTAATGGTTGTATACTGCTTTATGAATAAATTCTCGTTACATACCATACCTAAATCGGTTGTGCAAGCCTATAGACAATTAACGGACTTGATCTAACACGTTTTTGTGACTCCGGAAAAATTAAATGATGGCATATACTGGTTTGGTAAAAATGTACCCAAATGTCGGAGCCGAGCCCGGGCCAGGCCCGGGCCGGCCGGGCCGGGGCCGCGAGGCCGAAAAATTGACTCGGGCCGGCCGGCCGGGCCGGGCCGGGCCGAGAAAAATAAGCTGGCGGGCCGGCCCGGGCCGGCCCGGGCCGGCCCATTCCCAGGCCTGAGAAGAACTACTAAAACTAGCGAAAACATGCCGCAAAAAATAACTCGCTGAATCCAGATAAAGATATCTCTAAAAACTAAAAAGAGTAAATCCAACTTGAAAATATACAATTTAAATAAAAATCGATAATTTACAGAAATCTTGATGGTTCATCATCCATTTTACTCTTCCTTCCTTCACAAAATACACAAATAAACAATTTATTATCCGACCAACAAAAGAAACCCATCACTTTTTCGATTCCAGAAATCTAATTCTAGTAACAAAACAAAATCAGCGAGCGTGCCTATATCCGGAAATGAGCACAAAGCAAACAGTAAAAATACAAAAAAAAAGATAAAAATTCGGGCGGCTGGGTGTTTATTTCTTTTTGTGGCTTCGCGAGCGGGTGACCGGCCTCTTCTTCTCGTGCTCGTCCTCCTGCTCCTCCTCCTCATCCGCCTCCTCCTGCCATACGCGATTCATCAGCTCGTTGCGCAGCCTGGAAAATTGGAATAAAATTTAATTTAAGACGAAAGGCATTTAACTTTATCCAACGAGTTTTAAAGAAAGAAAAATCAGAAAAATTTAGCGAGTGTAAGAAATCTTCTAACCATTTTCGGAAAAGACAAATTTGGCTCTGAATTTTTCATTAATTCAATTTCGGGCGGGAACAATTTCGAAAATCGATTAAATTCGAATTCTATTAGTTTATAAAATAGACAAATTTATTAAAATTCGGCAAAAATAATTTTCGCCGACATTTTCCTGAAGCTAAAAATTTTAATCGTGGTTCTCTTAAAAAAATTAAAATTATATTTTTTAAATTATTATTGTTTGACGAAACCAATAAAACAACTTTAAAAAAATTACCTAGCCAAGGGTGGGCAGATCGTGTTTCTCGGTGGACAGCTGCTTCATGGCCAGCTTGAATTCGTGCTTCTTGGCGGCGGAGGCGTGTTTGGGGGTGGGGATGTGTTCAGGGTCGATCGTGGATGATCCATCATCTGACCACCATCCATCATCTTCTTCCGCTTCCTTCGGCTTCTTCTTGCTGCTGGCCGGCTTCTTCTTGTTGTTGTTGCTCTTCGTGTCGACCTCGTCCTCCTCGCCGTGGCCCTTGTCCTCCTTGATGTTGTTGGCCATCTTCTTCTCCCGTTTCGGCGGGCCTTTCCTCTTTGGCTTTGATGGGCCCGGTTTGTCGGGGTCCGAGAAGTCGTCGTTTTCTGGAAAAATCAATAAAAATAAATTCCGAGAATTTTTATTATTACTAATTTAAAATTTATTTTTCCTTTTTAATTCAAGAGAATTTTTTTTCAAAGAAAATCTACAAAATATCGATTATTCGATTTCAGTTTAAAAAATAAAAACCCTTACCCGGCCAGTTGTTGAAGTCGAACGCGTCCCCGTCGACGGGCTGATCATCTCCACCTCTGTTCGAGCGTGAAGGCGCCGTCGGCTTTTTGTGCTTTCTATTATTACAATTAGGAAATATTATGCTACAATTACTTGGGGTTGTATCCGTCGTCCGACTCTTCCTCCTCGCCCTCCTTCATGTTGTTGACCATCTTCTTCTCCTTTTTCGGCGGGCTCTTTTTCTTTGGCTTTGATGGGCCCGGTTTGTCCGCCGAGTCCGAGCAGTCGTCGTTTTCTGGAAAAACATAGAAATTAAACGATAAATTAAATTTAATGGCCTTTAAATTATTTTCTATTAATATTGCCTCGTTTTCCAAAAAATAATGATAATTAGGCCGGAATTTTTCTTTTTAATTCATTTTCGTTCAGCTTTATTTAAATTCACCGTTTTCTAAACAATACTAAACAATAAAAATAAATCAAATTTCGAGGATTTTTACTATAATCTTATTTCTACTAAATATCGATTTTTCGCTTCAAAATTGTGAAATTCGAATCGTTTTGTTTTTTAAAACATGCCTAAATTTTGATAAAAACAAAATTAAAGTCCTTTTAAAATTGCGGAAAGTCAATTTTTCGATTTTCCAAACCAAAATTTCTAGATTTAAAAAATCGTAAAAAGCCTTACCCGGCAAGTTGTCGAAGTCGGACTCGTTCCCATCGTCGAGCTGATCATCTACGCGTCGGCCCTTGCTTTTCGATCGTGACGCCGCCGTTGGCTTCTTGGGCTTTGCGGGCTTCTTGCTCTTGGCCGGACCCCTCCTTGGGTTGTAGGGCGGATCGTCGTCATAGTGCGAGCTGGTCCGCTTCCGCTTCGCCGGGCTGACCTTGTCGTCGTCGTCGGCGTCGAGAACGGCTGAAAAAAAAAGATAAAAAAATTGTTTAATTGATTACAAAAATACCCATTTTATCGAAAATTAGGGCACCGGTCTATTTTAGGGTAAGGAAAATTCCCATATCATTTTTAGAAATTTTTAAACGTAAAAAAAGACCTATCAATCTACTAAAGAAATCGAAACTCACAAAAAATAAGGAAAAACTATTTTCGGCAAAGAAACAAGCGGTTTTTTTAGAAAAAACGGGTTAAATAGCCCCCCCCCGCTAATAGAACAGTTCCAAAATCGGATCTTACAATTTCATAAAAAATTTAATTTTTCGCAAAATAAAAAATTCATTTTTTCAAATTGAACATTTTCAAGCTAACAAAACTAAATGGTAATAAAAAATTTACCTTTCGCGTTTCGACCACTTTTCGGGGCCCTGGGTGAGGCGCGGGACTTGGGTGGCTGACGTTTCTTCGGCGGCGCCTTCTCGGCCACCGACTGTGAGCGTGTTTTTCTGGCCGTCGGACGGGGGACGGGCTCCGGAGAGGGTGGTGGCACGTCTTCGTCGCGTTCATCATCAGAATTGGGCGGCAGGACGACGTCGTTGGGCATCGACTGGAGCAGGTCGTTGAACCTCTTCGACGGCCCGGGCTGGTCCGAGAACGAGATGTCGTCGCCGAGGGCGGCGGCTGGAAAAAGAAAAATTATTAAAAAAATGCAAATATTGATTATAAAAGTCAAATTGAAAAATAAAAACATAAAGGATTAAATAAAAATAGACGTTTTGAATCTTCAGGTAGTTAATCAAGTTTAAAATAATTAAAACGGTCCTAAGCCTACCTAGAGCGTCTCCGTCGCCTCGTCCGCCCGGTTGAGCAGCTTCAGCTTGGTCGTCTCCAGCCGACGCCGTCAAGTTGACCGTTTTCCGCCAGTCCGCCAGCCACCCGCCGTCGCCATTATCTGAAATAAAAAGTTAATAAAACTATATTAAGCACAAAAATCTGGGTTCTTTTGCATTACCGGGGGAGGCCCATTTCTTCCAAGAATTCCCAAAATGCCTCGTAATGTAATAGTAAAAATTTACATTTTTTTAGTAAAATTAACTCGATTTCAAGCGGATAAACGCTAAAAAGGTTTTAAAAATGTCGAAAATGGACCATTTTCAGTCGAAAAATCGCTGTCTTTTAATATATCTAAATAACGTTCGGAAATCTTTGCGTTTTTTTTTTGCGAAAGACTCAAAATTGCAAAAAAAACGCTAAAATGTACCTTTGGACCTCTTGACGACGTCATCGCCTCGGCCGGCCGTCTGAGCAGCTTCACCCGCTGACGACGCCGACGCGTTCGACTTGGCCTCGTCGAGCGTGTTGTTCAACTCCTGGTGCTGCACGTCGAGCGCGTCGTCAAATTGGCCCATCGTCGCCGTCATGTCGAGATCATCTGCCGAATCGTCAGCTTCTAAAAAAAAATATCAATATCAAATTATTTTTATAATTTTAAATAAGTATTAAATTCAATTCATTTTCTAATTCAATAATTCCAAATTTTCTAAAAAATCGAAACAAAAATACTAAATTCATAATAAATTGATTTTATTAGAATTTTAAATACATTTTTAAAGCAATTTTATAAACAAAAATTTACCCCGATTTCTGGCCATCTCCTCGTTGTGATCGCCACGGCCGTCAAAATGCGGCTGTTCAGCTTCAGCTCCCGATTTGGCGGCATTTCCGGTGAGCGTCTCCTTCTCGACGGGCGACGGCGGGATGTCGTGCTCCAAAAGCTGCTCCTCCTCCTCCTCGTCATAGTCCACCAGAGCCGGGAGGGCTTTCTTAGGCTTGATCGGAGACTTCTTGTCCAGCTCCTCCTCCACCGGCTCGTGCTCCTCGTCTTTTTCCGGGCTAGTCGGAGGCTTTTTCGTGTCCAGCTCCTCCTCCTCGTCCTTCTTCGGCCTGGTCGGAGGCTGCTTCTTGTCGTGCTCCTTCTCCTCGGGCTCTTCCTCCTCCTCACTTTCAGACTCCTCCAAGAGGTCGAGCGTCAAGTCGTGGTCATCTACACGCTGGGAGAGCTGCTCGACCCCGGCCAGCGTCCCGTCCTCCATCTCGTGCTCCTCCTCATCAGAATCCACCTCTTCGTACGCCTTCATCTGAAGAAAAAAAAGTTTATTCATATCATTCTTATTTTTGCTGATTTTTACAAAATGCTGCCAATCTGCTGAAAAAAAAACGTCAAAAATAGGAAAAAGGAGGAAGTGCTTTCAAATTGTTTTTCTTGCTACTGCTGAGCAGAAAAATGCAAAATTTCCCTTAATTTTCAACGTTTTAAAAGTTTTTTAAATTATGGCCAGTAAAAAAAACATATAAAAACTAGAAAATTCTACTATTTAATTACTAGAAAACTTAATTAACTTAATTTCTACTAGAAAATTACCCCCCCCCCCCGGTAACGCAAAAGAGCCAAAATTGTCTGATTTTTCGATTTATTTCTTTCCAAAAATCGATTTTAAATAATTTAAACATCAAAAATATTGTTTAAATTGATCTCCACCTTTTCTGTGACATCTCCCCCCCGAAAATGCACAAGCTCCAAAAAAACGAAAAACTTTTTTAAAACAATTTAAACAGCATAAATTAATCTCGATCTTTTTCTGTGACATCTCCCCCGGATAATGCACAAGCTCCCAGAAAAACGAAACTAAATTTTTCCCAAGCTAATGCATTTACTTTTTAATTCGGAAGTTGAGATTAAATTAATCTCCACCTTTTCTGTGACCCCCCCGATATTGCAAAAGCTCCCAGAAAAACGAAATTAAATTTTGCCCAAGCTAATTCATTTAATTTTTAGTTTGGATATTTTTAGATTAAAAGTATTCCCCACCTTTTTCTGTGAACCCCCTCGATATTGCAAAAGCTCCAAAAAACTAAATTAAATTTTGCTCAAGCTAATGAATTACTTTTTAATTCGGAAGTTTTAGATTAAATTACTCCGCACCTTTCCCTGATCGTCATCGTCTTCTCTTACAGGCTGCCCAAGCACATCCGCTTCAAACTCGTCCAAATCGAAGGCGTCCGCGTAGAGATCCTCATCCTCCTCATCCGCCTCGGCATCCCATCGTGGTGGCCGAGCCGTTCTCTGTGCTTCAGTCGTCTTTTCGATGGTGGTGGCTAGCTGTCGGGCGGCCAATTCTCGCATCTCCTCTGGCAGCTCCGGATCTGTGCTTCTTTTGCGTAGTAGATGATGCAGATCCGGGATCCCGAATGGCCCCTGAGCCCCGGCCGTCTCGATGAAGCCATCGATACCGTCGGCTTGGGGGCAACTTGACAGCACGAGTTCCTGCAAAAAGAAATCGGTTTTTTCTAGACTTAAAGGGGCAACGAAATGCCAAAAATTGAGTGACGGCCCGAAAATCGGAGTCCTGTACGTCGGAGGCCTCTGTACACCCAGGGGCACGGGAAGCTCGCAAATTTGAAATGGCCTGTTGTCACCTTCTGATCGCGTTCTCGGCTGTTTCTGGGCCAAATTTGATGATTAAAAGGCCGTTTGCCAGAGACCCGAACAAGCCTTGTCACAGTTTTTTTCGTCCCCGTTTTTTTGATGCCATGTGAAAGAGCATAGTCGAATTAGTAGGGTGGCGCTATTTCGAGATTTTTAAAAGTTCATTTTCTAGGTTTAAATGGGTGTTAAAGTTAACAACCTTGAAAAATTATCTTAAAAACTACTTGGCCAAATTGCTCGAAAATTTCAGACAATACATAATTTGGGACGCTGATCATTTTTGTAATACACCGGAAAACACGAAAATAGCCGGAACATAGGAATACCGCGTACACGGAAAGGTTTTTCGCAATTTTCTATTTAATGGGTATGCGTCGCCACTCTAGAAATACCCTTAAAAGATGCGCAATTGAATTCTACGTCGAATCATGTATTTCCCAGCGTGGCGGAAGATACCCATTAAATAGAAAAATCGCTTTCAAAGAAGCCGAACAGAAAAAAATTGCGGATTCCGGAAAAGAAAGACAGTTTTTCGTATATAGAGACCAAAACAGAACGATTGCAAAAAAGAGCAAAAAGAAATTCGATTTCTAAAAGGGGGCTGGGATTGAACTCGGGTCGTTTGCCTGGGACCTGGCGGCGCCCACTAGTGGCCTTCCCCAGTGCCCGCAGGCGGACCATCGCGGGTTCGATTCCCCACCGAGCCCAATTTCGCGTAGAAAAGATATTTCTTTTTGCTCTTTTTTGTAATCTACTTGCCTTCTCCTTTAGAGTCAATTGAAATCCGCGGATTGCCAAAATACAGTATTTTTATGTTTGTGGAGCCATTTTAGTTGTTTTTAGAAATATTATTTTTTCGATTTAATGGGTATCTGCCGCCACGCTGGGAAATACATGATTCGACGTAGAATTCAATTGCGCATCTTTTAAGGGTATTTCTAGAGTGGCGACGCATACCCATTAAATAGAAAATTGCGAAAAACCTTTCTGTGTACGCGGTATTCCTATGTTCCGGCTATTTTCGTGCTTTCCGATGTATTACAAAAATGATCAGCGTCCCAAATTATGTATTGTCTGAAGTTTTCCAACAATTTGAGCGAATAGTTTTTAAGATAATTTTTCAAGGTTGTTAACTTTAACACCCATTTAAACCTAGAAAATGAACTTTTAAAAATCTCGAAATAGCGCCACCCTACTAATTCGACTATGCTCTTTCACATGGCATCAAAAAAACCGGCTCGAAAAAACTGTGCCAAGGCATCATGGGGGCTGTTCGAGTGACCGGCGGACGGCCTTTTAAAGCACGAAAACTATTTCAAATTGAGTGAGGATTTCAAAAATGGGCTCAGAATGCGCGAATTTGAGTGTTTTCACAAAGAAACCGGGCAAAAACAACTTTGCGCAAAAATCGAAAAAGTGAGGGCTCTCGTCCCGCAGCGCCCGCTGGCAATTTGCCAGAAATCAAAGAGGCCTCCCAAAAGGGCTTTGATTTGGCAGTTCGGAGCCCCTTTAAATAATCCAGATATTCAAAAAAATGCATTGTAAAGAATTCGACAGCACCAGTTCCTGCAAAAAAAACGTTTTTAGATCGAAAAAAAACTATTTTTTTTTTATTCGAAAATTGGAACTTTCGGATGTTGCCTCGTTTATTAAATTAAAATCACATTTAAAAATTCCACCAAAAAGCCAGAAAAAAAAGCTAATAAAAAAATCCCGGGGCCAGCGCCTGAAAAAAATAGCCTTTTTGTATCCATGGCTGCAATAAATCTGGATAAACAACTCATAAAAAGTTTTTTTTAATTTTAAACCTAGAATTTCGAGGTTTTGGAATAAATAGAAATAATATTTTGAACTTATACGCAAAAATATGACAAAACGAGAATCCTGGAAATGTGCTTTTTCCTTTTTCAACCTAACATTTTGATGTTTCGGCGCAAAGTAGCTATATTAGGATTTTTGGCCTCAAGCTCAACATTTTTAGACAATAAAAAGCCAACAAACGCCTAAAAAGCTAGATCCTAGATCTCAAAAATCGCCAGTCACGCCGAAAGAGCTCCCCAGAAATCGAAACGAGCCAAAAAAGCCAGAACGTTCCAGAAATTAGGAAATTCCGTTTCAGCACTATCAAAAACGCGTCAAAAAGCGACCGGAAATCGATGGGGTGTGGCGCTTTACGAGGGCCTGAAAGCAATTTTGGGGGTCGTGGATTCGGCCCACATGTGTGGGGGAGGAGAGGGATCCTGGCAGGGGATGGGGGACTACAAACTCGAACAGCTGACGCCACTAGAGCGGGCGGGTAGTCAAAAGGCGAAGCAGCACCAAGCAGCCGGTTTTGGCAGGGGGAGAAAAGGGTAAAATTGACCCAAAACATCGATTTGCTATTTTCCAAAATTTAGAATCGCTCGAAATCGAATTTACACCAAATTCTATCCTTTTCTGATCTCGAAAATCGGTAAAAATCACGTTTTTCAAGGTTTAAAAAATAGGGAAAAGTTTAGAAACTTAAAACTATGTCAAATCATCGATTTTCCGGTCTTTTAATACAAATAAAAATCGATTTGAAAAGTCCAGCAGATTCGCAATTTTCCCCGCTTGCGAATAGGATACAATTAAATTTCTGAACTCTATTGAATCGGAAATTCCGGACCCTCATTCATAAGAACGCGATTAAATCTGCCTTTTTCGAGCCGTCGAACGGTACAAAAATTACCCAATTCCAACGTTTCTACGTGTTTTTCACTCGTTTCAAACTCTAAAAAATCCGCCATTTTCCAGGCTTTGCAAAACTACAAAAATCATCAAAATCCAACGTTTCTACGTTTTTTTAATCGTTCTAGACGCCTTAATAGCCAAAATAAACAATCTTTATACCTGAATATAGTCATTGCCGGCCTCGACGAGCACATCAACGAGTTCCCTCTCGAAGGACGCTCCCCTCTCGGCGCATCTGATGGCCAGCAGAGCGCGGCGATCTCCGAAAGTGACGATCGAGCGGAGCGGGAGTGGCTGTCCATTCGAGTCGTAGTCGCGTTGTCGCCGCTTCCACCTCAGATTCGTCCTTGCGATTTCCCACAGCGCCGCCCGCACCTCGCCGTTCTCGGCTGAAAAGAAAGCGGGTTCTTGAGCGTTAGCGGGGGGGGGGGGTGGTATTTTATCGTTTTACGCCCTTTTTTAAGCCCGGAAAGTCACAAAAATCATCAAAATTTGGCGAAAAAATAGATCCTGGCTTAAAATTTTCATTGCATTGTATTTTGCCGTTTGTTAATATTTTTATAGCTTGCTAAGCTCTTTTTTAAATATAAAAAGTTAAATAGTACCAAAAATGGCTAAAAATGATTGTCACTCCAAAATTTCATACTTCTTTAATTTCCAAAAGCTCTGTAAACTTGCCTTATCTTTTCGAAAGACTCATCGTAATCCAAAACTATCTAAAAACCACAAAACACTTCAAAAATTGTCGAAAAAAGTGAAAAATGCAATTTTTTTCTAAGAACTTTGTATAATTTTCAATACACAAAAAGACGCTATAAAACGTAGGTATAGGCTAATCAGTTCAACTAAAATATTGTTCAAAATTACGAAAAAGCGATGAAAACGCCTCCCCCCCCGCTAACAACCCATTACCTTGAAGGGCTCCTTGTAGAATGTCGCCAGTTTGATCGGCAAACTCCTTGACGGTGACGGTGCCGACGAAGAACTTCTTGTACAGCCCGATCCAGAGGTCGTATCGAGGCTCGGGCAGTGTCCGTTTGAAGAGGGCGAAGAGCTGGCGCAGTCTGTCCATCATCCTGTCGATGCGCTGTTGATCCCAGTCGAAACCATCGCCGCCCAAGTCGTCACTTTCGAGCATCGCTGCAAAAAAAAAGTTAAAATCTCCTCAAAAAAAGAAGAAAACACAGAAAAAAGCAAGAAAACCGCACTAATTCGAAAATGCTTGCCGCAAAACCCAAAAAATACAAAAATTTCAGATTTTCTAAAGATTTCAAAAATGCTCGAAATATAATCAACAGTTTTCCGGAAGGAAAAGACACAAAAATGGTTTAAAAAAGAGGGAAAGCCCCTATACGGCTAGAACTTACCAAATACTAAGAAGAAAACGCCAAAAAAATAAAATAAAAAGCCATACAAAACAAAGCGAAATCGAAATTCAGCGACGCCGCGTGGTTTTTTTCTAGAAAACGAGATTATTTGGCAAAAAAGATCGCTCTAAAAACCCATATAAAGCTAAAAATAAGTGAGTAAATAGAGTAACTAAAGCTACGCGCCGACGCTTTTCAAGACTCTAAACCGACTCTTGCTGCGCCCGGCCGGGTGTCAAAACGTGAGTGTTTCTAGCATCGAAAATGGGTTATAAATACGCTTAAAGCGTCTTAAAATCCAGTAAAAAAAAACTGGAAGCTGCGCGCTGAGACTGGGATCATGTAAATCCCTGCTGGAAAATGAGATTAGGGAACACAAATGGGTAATACATAGCAAAGAAAGTTCTACATAACGGTAGAAAAATGTTTGAAAACGTTCTAAAGACGAAGAAAGCGCTGTTTAGCGCGGAATTTGCCACGAAATTAATTCTAGACAACAACGCCGCGCAGAAAACGTACAACACTGAACTGCACGTCTCTAAAAAGTTATTTTATTCCCACATGCTTCAAATCCCCTACGGAATCACTCAAAACACTGCGGGGGTCGAATTCCAACCGAGAAGCCAGCCATTGTACGAATTTAGATCAACCCAAATTGCCTGAAACCAACCGTTTCTCAACGTAAGAAGATAACAACTTTTAATAAAAGCGCCGATTTCGCGTTTTATGCATTCTTGTATCCGATTTCGCGTCTTTTGCCGCGCGATCAAAAGCAATCTGATCTAGCCAAGGAAATCTAATCGCAAAAGCAAGAAGGAGAAGGACAAAAGCAAGTGGGATTTATGAGAGATCAATTCGATTCCGAAAATGCAAAAACCATTTTCGCGCTAAAATCGCGATTGCGCTGGCACCACTGCGTCTCGCGAACAAAGATTTAGCGTGAAAAATAAGATTTTTCGCCGTGCCATCAAAACCAAAATCTCAATCAATCGCAAACGGAAGCACGAAAAAAACACAAAAAAGCCAGTAAACTGTATTCGGCAATTGTCGGGGTCGATCCATTTGTGTACTCCAATTCCAACAAAACTCGCATATTTTGAATCCATTTATTCGGGCAACGATATGGCAAAGACATGCAAAAAGTGTGTGTGTGTGTGCTGGGTGGATGTCAAGGGGGCAAGTATCCAGGGCGGGGAGAGAATGAGCATGAGTTGTTACACCGATTATCGACATATTTCAGCGGAATTTTTAATGATATCAGCGCGGAAAGTCAGAGCCGAGTGAATAAATGGCAAAAAAAAAGCGATGGGAAGGGGGGAATGTGCATGCAAATCTGGGGGGTAGAGAGACTGGGCGGGGGAGGCAGGGGATTTCCTAGTAGATGAGCATGAAGTTGAGCACGAGGATGAGGTGGTGGCCGGCCGGGTGGTGTCGTTCGGGGAGCGATGATTGATCGTCGAGGGCGAGCGGCACGTCACTTCTGTCGAATCACCTAAAAAAAGAAAGATTTTCAGAAGTGTTGAGAAAATTATACCTTGGCAGCAGGTCCGGCAGCGACAGCAGGGCGCGGCGGCTCGGGGCGCTTCGTGGTGAGGCGGGCCGTGGCCACGACGCTCGCTGAAAAAAGGATTTCTAGTTTTGTAGCATTATCGGTAAAATAAAAACTACGTTTTAACTGGAAAAACTATCTAAAAACTATCAAAAAATCTCCAAAAAGCCGGAAATTTGGTCAAAAACGGCCATTTTTTGCCCAAAAACCGAGATTTTTTGATACAAAATTTGTCAGGGTTTGAAGTTCAAATAGAAACAACAGTCTGGAAAGAATACAGCTTTTTACATTTACAAAACTAGTTCAAAAGCGAGAATTCGGTCAATTTCGCACAAAAACACACCAAAATTTTTGAAAATCCCTTTTTCGTAGTTTTCCAGCCTACGCGTAAAAATCGGGCAGCACTCAAAAATTCTAGGCGCTTTTCAAACTTTATAAAATTTTTCTAGTCAAAAATATACCGGAACGAAGAGAGCGGCGCAGCTCCTTCTCCGGCATCCGCTTGTTGAGGAGCGCGACGGCGACGGGCAAGGGCGCGCGGGCGAGACGAGGCTGCGCTTCCGGGGCCTTCACGTCGGTCTGCTTCGAGCTGAAAAAAAAAAAGAGGTTAAAAGAAGACTTGCTAAAAAGATATACCTAGACGGCTGCTGCTGCTGCGGTGGTGGTGGGGGCGGGCGACGTTGCACCACAGTCTTCATCTGCGCCGCCAGCGCGTCGATTCTAAATTGTAAAATACAAATACGAATAGCAAAAAAAAGAAGGTTCTTTGGCAATATCGGGGGGAGGGGAAATTTTGTAAATATAGCTAGAGAAAGTGATCCTAAACTGGTTTTTTTGCTATTCTTAAACATAAAAACTTCATAAACTTCTATCCAAAAGTTAAAAAAAAAATCGATTTTCCATCCAACATGTCGTTTTTCGTAAGTTTTTAGATAGTTTTTCTAGTTGAAAAGTAGTTTTATTTTACTAAAAACCTTATGAAAATGTCTTCTGTTAATTTACTAGGCATTTCTAGACTCGTACAAAAAAATTTTCTCCCCCGATATTGCGCAAGCACCCAAAAACTCGAAAACGTACTTCTTATGGAGGGACTTGTGGACATCGGCGTGCTTCTGCAGGGCCTTGATCTGATCGGCCTGCTTCTGGACGGTCTTGTTGACATCGGCGAGCTCCTTGGTGACCTTCTCGAGCTCGCGGTCCTTCTTGGCGAGGAGCCGGGCGGCCTCGTCGCGCACGTCATTGATCTTCCTCTTCAGGTCGCGCTGGCCCTCCAACGCATCCGCCTTCGTGAGCACCAGCTCGCGGCGCATCTGTTCCAACTGGAAAAGGGGGGGAATAAGGGTTGTAAAGTTCGAAAAAGAAAAAATAAAGTTTTTTAAGCGATAAAAAACGTTAAAATCAATTTTTTAACGTTATAAAAGTGGTTAATAAAATTATAAAATCACTAACAGTCTGATCATACAGATCAATGGCCGACATTGCAGACATGGGAGACAGAGAAATGACCCCATTTTACGAAATACAAATAGCTATTTTGTGCAGATCTATGCTAATTAAAAAGCTATCCAAACGCATTTGCGGCAGCGTTCTATATCCATTTTTTTTCTAGAAATGGAGCATTTTCAAGCGTTTTTTTTTCGTCAAAATGGGCGATTTAGACCCAATTTGCAATTTCTAAAGTTTTTCGAAGTTTGCAGACAGTTTTTGCACCTCAAATTTAGCTAAATGTTACTAAAAAACCTAAAAAGCTTGGCTATCTTCCAAAATGGACATGACTAGGCTTATCTGAAGCGGGGCGCTAAGAAAAACTGCCCGAAACAATTGCTTTCCTAAACGTCGTTGGTCTTTTTCGAAATCGACGCCAAAACCTAGGCCAGAAAGGCCTAAAAACCCGATGCCAAAATCCCCCCAAAAAGAACCAGAGACCATCAAAAACCCTTCCCAAACTGTACCTGATCAGTGGCGTGCTCGGCGGCGCCCTCCGCGGTCTCGTCGATGTCGATGAAGGCCTTGACGACCTCGTGGCGGCCACAACGATGACGGCATACCGGGCAGCGCTGCGAGTGCGGGTGATGGCTCTAGAAAAGGACATCAAAAGCTAGGGAATAAAAGCTTACCGTGAGCCATGTGTTAATGCAGTCCTTGTGGAAGGTGTGGCCGCACGGGATGACGTGGACGTCCTCCAGCGAGTAGAATAGCGTGCAGATGGCGCATCGGGCGCGGAACGAGGGCATCCTCTGCAAAAAAAACCGATTAAAACTATGAAAAACATGATTTTTCACAGAGAAAAAGCAAAAAAATCGGAAAAATGATGCGTACGGGCCGATAAAACTTGCAAAACAACTATCTAATACTCAATTTCAAGGTGTCTAGAACAGAAAAGCTTGGAAGGAGGCTAAAGGCGCAGAAAAAAAAATCGCAAAAACGGAAATTTCGGGCCAAAATCCGCGTACGTTTACGTGTATTGGCTACGGCTTAGCTCTGTTCAGGCTCAAATTCGCTGTTTTTAAGGACATTTTCTAGTGTTTTTCATGAAAAAAATACGCGTAAGTCTACGTTTTCAGCACATTATACGGCGCAGCATTCGGTGAAGCGTCGCGTGATTGCAAAACTTCTAAACCAAACAAAATCTACTTTTTAAATAACAATGTTGATCAGCGTTTCGAGAAAAAGTGAAAATCGCGCAAATCATAAAAACGAGAAATAAATTTAGGCCCGGAAAATGCGAAACCACCCGGCTAAAGTGGGATTCCAAGGCGCTATGCTTACGGATAGCGTCGGGTGGAGTGTCTCGTAGTCGGCCAAATTTTGTGGTTTTCTCGATTTGCCAAAAGTCGTGAAAAATGCCCATTTTTTGTATTTAAAAAAAAAATCATTTTTCGCCAGTTTAGCGCTATTTTTTTGCACGATTTTCGGTTTTAAACTGGTTTTTTAATCAGGAAGCAGAATTCAATTTTTTGGTGCCGATTTTCACGTATTTTTGGATTCTGTGTCTTTTTTAAAATCGAAAAATCTCTTCTAAGACCAATTTCTTTACCATTTTTCGCAAGTTTCCGGCGCGTTTTGGATGATTTAGGGTTTAAACGGTGTTTTTTTCATCATATAGAAGCAGAATTCACTTTTTGGCGATTTTTTTACCGTTTTTCGCAAGTTTTGGCGTTTTTTTCACGATTTTAGGTTTTAGACTGTGTTTTCCTTTATACAGAAGCAGAATTGAAATTTTTGGCCGATTTTCACGTATTTTTTGAGTGCATTTTTCTTCATCTAAAAAACGATTTATTGGGATGCGGTAGGGGGTGTAGGCTGTGTACTGCGAAACGATACATGGAAAAAGAGGATCGAGATGAGGAGAGAAAAATGTGCAGCAGCAGCAGCGAGTATGGTACGGGGAGGGGTAGTAGATGAGCCGCGACATCAAGCAGCACAGCCACCTCCCGCGTCATCGAGCAGTTCATTGGCGGGAAGACGACAGCATGGCGCTGCTGCTGCCGGTGGTGGAGAGAAGGGCGCTGCGCTCATTTCGGCTGGGCTGGCGTTTTAGGGGCGGTTGACTGAAAAAGGCTTTTAATGGGGCGGTGACACCAAAAAACGGGCTTTTCTAGGGTTTAAAAACGGAAATTTTTAATGCTAGCCTTTTCCAATAAATTTTAAAAACAAAATTTTACGTTTTTTGGTTAGATTCTGGTTATAAAGGCTCTGTTCTGTTAGCGGGGGGGCACTGTTAATAAAATTTCCTATTTTTTATCACTTTTTCGTAGCTTCTCCTTGCTAGAAAACTGATAAAAAATAGTCTGGAAAAATTGAACCATCGAAAATATTGACTTTTTTAATAATTTTTGAAACATTTTTGCCCAAAACTCAGAAAATGCCGAAAATTTTCACGAGGTTTTTATATAAAAAGAACCCTGTTTTTTATATTTTTACGCTATTTTTAGTAAAATTTAAACATATTTCAAGTGAAAAATTATTTAAGAACATTACAAAATTTTTCAAAAACTCGAAATTTTACCGAAAAATCGATATTTTTTTGTTTTTCTAATCAAATTTTGTAAAGTTTCTACGTTTAGGAATTGGAAAAAAAATGGTTTAGAAAGACACAAAATCGATTTCAGACAAATCGAAACAATAAAAAAAGCAAAAAATTTTGTAGTCGAAATTTCGGTCAAAACGGTCGTTTTTGGGCGAAAAATCGATATCTTTGCATTTTTTAAAAATAATAATTTGTAAAGGTTTTGCGTTTAGAAATAGTAGAAAACGGTACCCCCCGATAATGCCAAAGAACCTAATAGTGTTTTTAATAAAAGTTAGAAATGTTGGTCAAAAACGGCAAGTTTTTATGGACAAAACTTTTTTTTTGTATTTTTACAAAAAATTTGTAAAATTTATTGTTTTTTAAGTCTAGCTGGTTTCAGTTGTAAGTTTAAAATATGTAAATATTTTTTTTAAAGGGACGGTGACACGTACCTACCTTCGCGAGGTGGCGCTCCTGTCGGTGGCTGAGGCTGAGGGAGTCTTGTTGATGGTGGCCTCTCTCTTCTTCTTGTATCTTTTGGCAACACAGACAGAGAGAGCGAGACAGACACAGAGAAGGACACACAACACCAACAGGGTCACCAGGAATTGCCAGTGGTTTCCCATATCCACCAGCAGCTTGTCCTCGGCGATGCTGCAAAAAAATGGAGTGCTACATTGAAAACATCCATTGCAATGGTTAAACTGTCTGGCCGGGTACAGACTACAACTTTTATCTTGCGGGCTACAGACTTCAGAAAAGTTACGCGAAGGACCCGGGTTCGACCCCCCGCCGCGGCCAACTTTTCGCTTTTTGAAAATTTGGAATGATTTTTGATTGGGATGGCTAAACTGGCAGCCAGACTACAAGCTAAAACCGTCAAAACGCATTTACAGTACCCCAAGCGTCAATTGGAATATTTCGGAAAAGTTCCAAATTGCGATTTTTGGTTTTTTCGAAGGGGCCTAACTTTTTGTAGTTCGTAGTTAGAGCTCTAATACTTTTGGGAATCGCTTAACTGACAGCCAGACTACAATATACAGTCATTAGATGAAGACTACAAACTACATCGAAGCTATCAGTTGCGTGACTCAGGTTCGACCCCCCGCCGCGGCCAACTTTTTGCTTTTTGAAAATTTGGATTGGTTTTTCAATTAAGATCCCTAAACTGGCCGCCAGACTACAAGCCACAACCGTCAAAACGCATTTACAGTACCCCCAGACGTCATTTGGATCAATTCGGAACGTGCCAAAATTGCGATTTTTGCTTTTTTTCGAATAAACCTATTTTTTTGTAATTTGTAGCTAGAGCTCTAATTCTTTCGAGAATCGCTAAACTGGCAGCCAGACTACAAGCTACACCACAGAAAACGTACTCCTCGAGCTTATTCTCGGCTCCCTGCTCGCCGGACTGCTCGGCCTTGGTGGAGACGGTGGGATGCTCAGAAGTGGTGCTCATCGTACTTGTCGTCGTCGTCGTGCCGTTCGGAGTTGTCGAGTTGGTGGGGGGAAGGGGCTAAAAAGTAAATCCCAAATAATCCCTGCTGGCCTGCCCCTACCGAAGTATATGGCTGCTCAAAATCGCTGGGGCGCTCGAAGCGCGCTTGCGCGCCGCAAGTCGGGCCATTCGACGGTTTTGGCAACGAGGCGTAGGCGGCCAGCAGCTGCCAGCTAACTGGAATTACGCCATGAAATTACGGTCCTGGGATTTCCTCAAAACCTCTGCTGTCCTCCCGATTCCCGAAATACCTCAAAAATCCCTGCTAGACTGCCCTGCGTTCCGCAAAGTGTCTCTGCTAGCTTTATGGATGTCAGTTTAGCGGTTCCGACAAATTATCTGCTAGTTTGCCCCTCCAATTTCACAAAGAAAAAAAAATGAATAAAGTATATATATAAAAGAACCTCTGCTAGCTTGCCCTTCCTCTCCCCTACGAATTCCTCAAAAATCCCTGCTAGCCTGCCTAGAGTTCCGCAAAGCGTCTCTGCTAGCTGCTTGGCGGTCAGTTTACAATTTCCGAAAATTTCTCTGCTAGCTTGCACCTCAAATTCCTCCAATGGTCCCTGCTAGCCTATCAAATCCTCAAAATCGTTTTTTCCGAGTTTTTCGAGGCAGTTATCTAGCCGAGATTCTTTAGGAACTGAAAATCGTTTTCGAAATTCAGCGATCTGACCGACGGGCTACAAATTACACTCCAAAAAAATGCCAAAAATTTGCACTTTTTCGGATTGAGTTACCGAAAAGTCAATTTTTGGCCCAATCCCCAGCTTCTTTTCCGCAAATTGCCTCTGCTAGCCGCACCCACCGTTTCCCTGGCGTGACGGCTTCACCTTCTCGTCCAGCACATCTAAAAAAATCAATTTCACGTTCCGGGGTACGGTAATTCGCAAGAAATACGGTATGTATTGTACCACAGACACAGTCGGAGCCGAGATTCTTCCGGTAGGCGCCACTGTAGCAGCCGGCTGGAGATGAGGCATTCATCACAGGGTCCCGCCACGACAGACAGAACGTCTCCTCCAACAGGTCACACGCTAAAACGAGGCGTGCGTTTAAAGGGCCATTGGAAGCCAATTTTGGCTATGGATTCGTGGAAATCTGCTTTCAATGGTCCTTGAACGCTCTGAGAAGTTGATTTTCGAGTTTTCTGACAGCCAGTTTAGCAAACCGCAACCCATTTTTGTTTTAAAGGCGCTTTAAAGGACCATTGAAGCCAATTTTTTGCCCACTGAAGGCTACTTCCCTGCGTTGGGTTGGCTATGGATTTTTGCCTTCAATGACCCTTTAAAGTTAGGATCGATCGATATTTGTTAAAACTGATAGCCAGTAGATAGTAAAGTCAATTTTAGCAGATTTTGCTACCTTGGAGACCCCGAAATTCCGTTTTAAAGGAACAGTGACACCATTTTTCAGCTGGCAACCTAGCAGAGACCCTTTGCGGAAAGTGGCTACCGTATGTGTACTGCGTCCTCGAGCCATCGTAGGCGAACAGATGCTCCGAGTAGAAGACGCGCGGATCCCATTCCTCGTACCGCTTCTTGCGCTCCGGCTGAAAATCCTGGGTTTCAGCGCGTAATCGATTCCGGAAACTAGCGGGGACAATTTGGGAGGTGGGAATCGAGAGACTGGCAGCCAGATTGGCGAATGGCAAGCTAGCCGAGAGCATTCGGGATATTATCGAGTTATTCATGGCGTAATCGATTAATTTTCTCGATTTTCTCGCGATTTCGGGATTTGGTCGCGTAATCGGTTGTGTAGGCTAGCAGGTACCATTTAGGAAACGCGATTCGCTAGGCTGGCAGCCAGCTCCCACAATGGCAAGTTAGCCGAGACAATTTTCGGAACATAGGGCATGCTAGCATGGATTCTTTGCGGGAAATCGCGTACCTCAGAATTGACACTTCCTCGATGCATGGTGCACTTGTCGACCGGGTTGAACGGCTGCCCCGTCACCGAGCAGTACGTCGGCCACTGAAAACAGGAGCGATTTACCTGGCGTAATCGATTAGTTTTATCGGGTTTTTCACGATTTTTGGCGAATTTAAACGCGTAATCGATTAAAAAAGTTGCTGAGGCTAGCAGAGACCATTTGGGAAGTGGAAATCGCTTAACTAGCAGCCAGCGCGGCCAATGGCAAGCTAGCAGAAACCTTTTGAGCCCTGGGAGGCAAGCTGACAGTGATTCTTGGCTCCAAAATGCGAGTTTTCTGACAAACGGTCTCTGCTATCCTGCCCCGTGCTATTTTAAAGGCGTCGTTGGATGCGTTGGGTGTCAGTTTAGCTAACTCGGCAGCTAGCAGAGGCAATTGGCAACCGAGGCGAGCTAGCAGAGAGCATTTAGGACACTCACCGGGAAGCTGACGCCTCGCGGTCGCTCTTCGGGCGCCTTGCTCGTGCACTGGGTGGCGTCCTGAAAATTCGGAGTACTGGTCTCTTAGCGGGGGGGGCTGTCCAGTTGTCTAGGAAGTTTTTTAGAGTTTTTTTATCGCTTTTTAGGTTTTTTTGAAAGCCAAAAACATGCAGATTTTTAGAAAATTTCAAAATTCGAAAAAGTTCTAAAAAATGAAAATGGGCATGCTAGCAGAGGCCATTTGAGACTGAGGTACCCATTGGTAGAAGTCGAGCAGCTTCTGCAGCTCCTCATTGAGCGCATGGTCGAGTCTCGGGGCCGTCGTGTTGTCGACGGCGACTTCAAGCAGTTCGGATTTTTTTGTTTTGTGGATATTGCTAACTTGTTGAGTGGAATACTTCACCTGGCAGCCAGACTACAGACTACAGCTGTTACTTTGAGGCTACAAGCTACAAAAATCTACTAGCCGCAGTGTCCGGGTTCGATTCCCGGCCGCGGAGATTTTTTTGCTTTTTGCATTTCTTGGTTATTTTTTGTGCCGAATGGGTAAACTGGCATCCAGACTACAAACTACAATCACTGTTTTCAGGCTACGAACTACAAAAAATCTACTAGACGCAGGGTCCGGGTTCGATTCCCGGCCGCGGCCAAGTTTTTGCTTTTTGAAAATTTTGCCAATTGTCCACTAGGAATCGTCTAGCTGGCAGCCAGACTACAAACTACAACCCTTAGATCTTAAAATGTCTCCCACCACAATGACAGGCGGTCCCCTCCTTGGTGATGGATACGGTATTCTCGAGATAGCATCCAAACGTCTTGTGTTGTGTGTCGTTCACAATACCCGGACACCAGATCGTACGCTGGGGGCACACTAAAGCATCCAGTTAGCTGTCACCATCCCTTTAAAGTCCTTTAAAGGGCCATTGAAGGCAAATTTCTAACCGTGGATTGACTATCTTGCCTTCAATGGTCCTTTAAAAATCGGAGCAATTTTTTTGGGGTAAACCGAAAGTCAGTTTAGCCAATCACACCTGTTTTTAGCCATTGATGGACCTTTAAAGGACCACTGAAGGCAAAAATCGGTTCTTGTGTATTCCGGGGGAAACTGAACTTTTTTTTGGCCCAAGCCTAGATTTTTTATATAAATAGTGGAAGTGTTTCTAAATTGTTTATAGCTATTCCTAAACATAAAAACTTTACAAAATTTAATTAAAAAATTTAATTTTAGGTCGAAAAATCGATTTTTTCGGTCCAAAAATGACCAAATTTTCGACTTTTTCAAGCGTTTTTCTAACTTTTTAAAAAGTTTTTCCGATTCAAATAGGCTTAAATTTTGCTAAAAACAATGTAAAAACACTTTATATTTGATTACTATCCCCACCAGGCCCGACAAAAAAAAGTTCAGTTTCCCCCCCGCGAATTCTTTCCCCCGGGAATACACAAGTACCCAAAAATCCATAGTCAATCCATAGACAGTAAGTTGCCTTCAGCGGTCCTTTAAAGAACGATTAAAAACAAAAACAGATGTCAGCTTTGCTAACTGGCGTCGAAGCATCTCGAAAATCTATATTTCCAATTTTTAAAGGGCCATTGAAGGCAAGAATCCATAGCTTGCAGGTCCCTTTAACCAGCGTACCATAATGAATGATATTCCTGGGTGATTGATAGCTGTTGGGATCGCCCGATTCGACGACAATCTCTGAGAAGACGATGAGGCGTTTCTTCTCTGGATTCTCGAACTCCTTTTGGCATTGAGTGCCATTGTTCAGCCACGGGCCATTCTTTTGAGGGCAGTACAGGGTGGGAGGGGTGGCCGCTGAAATTCCGCAAATGGTCTCTGCTCGTTACCTGGCAGACAGTTTACAGTTTCCTTAATTTTCTCTGCTAGTTTGCCCCTTGAATTCCTCAAACACTCGCTGCTAGTCTGCCCTACCATCGACGACGGCCATCGAGAGAAAGACAACGACAAGGAGGAAGGGCCGGATGAGCGCCATTCGAATCTGCTGGCGAGCGGAGAATGATTGGATTCGAACGTAAACGCCCTCGCTTTTTAATGCTAATTTATACGCTCAAATTAGGATTTAAATCCAGAAGTTCAAATTTTGTATGCAAAAATTTGGATTTTTCCAGTTTTCTCAAAAGCTACGGATCCAAATGTTTTGAAATTTTGTGAGTTTACGAACTGGATAGCGCCGATCATTTTGCAACACTTTTCAGGGTTTAAAAATGACAGGAACTCCGGGATACTGTATACACAAACTAGTTTTTCAATTTTTTAACCTCGAAAAATAAATTTTAGGGACTGAAACCACTCTAGAAATGTGCGCCTCAAAATTCTGCATCGATTGATGGGTTTAACAAGTTAAATTGGATGGGGTATGGCCTCAAGAAAGCGGATTTTCCGCGTAAGGCTGGGCTACGCGGCGCTCCCCCGTACACCCGTACCCTGCGCCCTCTCGGCATCCATCAACACACGAGACCCCCCCAGAGCCCCGGAAAGAGGGAAAAGGCCGGAAAGTTGCAAGAAAAGGGGTTGTTTGTGTGCGCCAAGTTTTGGAGAGTCTTAGCTGACTGGTTGCGAAATTTATTAAGTTGTGTTTGTTAAGAATAGTAGATTCAGTCATTTTATAGGATTTCAAACACCATTTTTCGGTTTTTCAATGTTTTAAAATTGTTTTGCTTTCTTTCAAGGGGATTTAACTTCATAAATCCTCTTTCTGGTGGCCAGGCTACAAACTACAACGAAAAATGGTCCCTAGAAATTGTGTTTTGTGGATTGGGCTCCGGAAAATGCATAAAATATAGATTTCTTTGAAATTTTTCGATTTTTATATTTTCAATTTATACATTTTTATATAAATTACTAACTTTCTGGATGCCAGGCTACAAAATACAACCAAAAATGGACCTTAGTTTTATAAAGGATTGAGTTTTTGAAAATTCCAAAAATTTCCAATTTTGAAATTTTGAAATTTTAAAAATTTTTTTATTGTTTCTTTTTATTTTCTATAGTTTTTGAAACAATTAAATAGGTACTATAATTTCTAAGAGTTTTTTTCAGAATGAGCCGCTTTCTAAGCGCGCGTCGCGGCTCGAACAGCTCGAATGAGGGGGATGGCGGCGGGCAGTGGCTGCGGGGTAAGTCGATTTTTCGGGATTACGGTATTTTCTATTTGGTATTAAAAAATTATTTTTGGGCTTACTGGCGTCCAGTTCGCATTATCGTAACCTAAAAATAACAAAAAATTCAAAAGGAAATTTTTAGAGTCAAAAACTTGAAATTTTGTTGGCGAAAATCTATGAAGTGTTAATTTCCGACATTTTATTGTAGAATAAACATTTTACAAAATTATTTTTAGGCTTTCTGGCTGGCAGTTTTTTCAATCATTATTAAGCATTTAAAAATTAATTTAAAGCCACTCGTTTGGGTCCAATTAATGGTTTCGCAACTATAAAGAATGGCCGATTATGAATGATTTTCACCACTTTTTAAGATTTTTTGTCGAAACATAAAATTTATAAAAAATTATTTTGACTTTTTTGGATGCCAGTAAAACTAGGAAAAAGTTAGAAATTGATACAATTAATTTAATTAATATTTAATGCATTAAAATAATTATTTAAAAATTAAAATTTTTTTACTTAAATTCAACCATCTAATTTATTAATTTTTCAGGCGGCGATGCGGCGGCGCGGAAGATGTACCGTAGTTTCGTGGCGAAGAACCCGCGGATGGGAGGGGAATCGGGGCTGAGGGCCGCGGCGAGACTTGTCGAAGATGATGAGAATATCACCAAGGACCGTGGGTTACTGTAGCTTCTCAAGCGTACGGTATGTATTTAGAGCTGCTGGAACAAGTGATGCAAATGACGGAAAGGGAGCAGGAGATGGCCGAGACGGCTGCATTCCTTGATGATGACGAGGTGATTTTGACGATTTTAATCGATTTTCATCGCGTAATCGGTTACGTCATCGAATCTACGCGGAATTTCAAAGCGTAATCGACTAGTTGTCTTCCAGTTTAGCAACTGGCAAGCGAGCAGAGACCATTTGCGGCCTTCAAGGGATTTCGTAGCGTCACCGGTTGATTTTTCCGTGTTTTGCTCGGTTTTTCAAACATTTCGTCGCGTAATCGGTTTCACCAACGAATTTTTGCGAAATTTCAATGCGTAATCGATTAACTGCTAGCCAGTTAAAGGAATGGCAAGCCAGCAGTAAGCATTTGCGGCTTTCATGGGATTTTATAGCGTAATCGGTTCGTTTTTGCCGCCAGAACGGGCCTTGGCAAGCTAGCAGGGACAATTTAAGGGCAGGGTAGGCGAGCAGAGGTCATTTAGGAATCAGAATTGATAAACTGGCAGCCAGTTAACGGAAAGGCAAGCTAGCAGAGATTCTGTGCGGCATTTTAAAGGGGTGGTGACAGCTAGAAAAATCGGGTTAGCAAGCAAAGTCAATTTGGGGAATTTTTCAGGATGCCGAGCGTCTTTTCGTAGACGCATTAATGGAGGAGGAATCGACTGAAGAGGGAGACAGAGAGGACGGAAATGAGGAGGACAAAAAGAAAAAGAAGAAAAAACTCCCAAAACGACTTCGGAAAGCCGCCAAACAGAAAATCGACAGCTTCATCGAGTTTGTCCTGGCCAAAATCAACCAGCAATGGGTTCGCTTTTATATATTAATAATAATTGAATTTACTTTAATTAGAAAATTTAAATCAGCTTCTAAAATCTATCAAACTAGCATTTTTTAAGTTAAATGTAATGTATCATGGATAAAAGGGACCGACAATAATTCAAACGAGCCGGTTTTTTCAATTTTTAATTTTTTACGAAACATCTTTTTTAAAAGCGGTACTGCGTCAAAAATCTTTCTGGTTTTTTATGTCATAATTTGCATCGTTTAATTCTATTCAAATTTTAGTAAAGATCTTTTTCAATAATTTACGGATACCAAGGTGCACTTTGAATTGCCGTCTCAAATTTTCTTTGTTTTTCAGAAATTTTTGAAAAATTTATTTTTTATTTTATTTATTTTTTATGAAGATTAAACTTGAGCGGATCTAAAAATCTAATCTAAATCTAAATCTTAAACTAAAAAAATTAATGAACTCGGAAAAAGGAAAAAAATGCATTTTTTTGACAACGTGTGAACAAAGAAGAATTAAAGGGTTTATTTCTGGCGGTAGTTTGAATGTTCATGAAACATTTTTTTTTGGCACAAAAGCTCAGAAACTCTTCTCTAATAATTTGGCGAAATTAATGTTGATTGATCTAATGCATTTGTAGTCAATATTATTTTACTATTTTATAGGTGCACATAGCCTATGCCGTTTTTCCCTTCCAGCAAGTACAGACGTTGATCCTCGTGTGTCTCGTGCAATTTATCAGGTAAGCATAGTAAGCGTTTAAATAGGCCGTTAAGGGTTGTAGTCTGTAGTTTGGATGCCACCTTAGGGATTGCTATCAAAAAATTCGACTAAGTTCGACCTCGGCGGGGGATCGAACCCTGGCCTTGCGCTTGGTAGGCTTTTTGTAGTCTGTAGTCCGGGTCCAAAGGTTATAGTTTGTAGTCTGGATGCCAATTTAGCCATTCCAACCCAAAACTAAGCACAAATTTCAAAAAGCAAAAAACTTTTACCTCGGCGGGGTTTGAACCCGGATCGTTTGCCTGGTAGCGTTGTTGTAGTCTGTAGCCCGGACATAAAAGTTGCAGTCTGTAGTCTGTTTGACAGTTTAGGGATTTCAGTATAAAACCAAGCTCAAATTCCAAAAAGCAAAAAGTTTGACCTCGGCGGGGATTGAACCCGTGGGTCGCCTTTCTATCCTTCAGTGGTCCTTTAAAACCGCTTTTCCAGTCTCCAAGCAATTCTGCACGTGCTTCCGATGCTAATTGCCTACGGGGCCTTCATCACGATGGCGTATATGACGCTCAAAATGTTTCACAACAAGAATGCCAAGGTGCGCGTCACGGTCTCTTTAGAGGGTTACGGTAGCCGTTTCGATACTGGTCTTTTAGCGAGGGGAAAATCTTTTTAATTTTAAGTTTCTCGATTCTCAATCTAAAAAGCTTATACAAAAAATCTCAAAATTTAAAATTTTTGGATATTTGGGGAAAAATGTTTCGAAAATTGTTAAAAAGTTCACAAATTAAAAACTTCACTTGGCAAATTTTTTTTGATTTTTCCGGCAATAAAAAACTACTAAAAACACTATAAAATTGGATCATATATTTCGGCAGCTAGATATAGCTGGAGAAATAGAAATTGCTTGTTCCCCGCTAACCGCCCAGTACAGCTTTTCCACGTTTTTTTAGAAAGAAAAAGAAATCAAACGGCGTCTACTCCATCTTTTTGGCGAGGAAAATGCGGATCGGCAGCCATATGTAAATTTCCAAATTAATTAAATTAAATTAACAATTTTTAAATAATAAATAAGTTTAATTTTAATCTAAATTTACTAAAAAAAATCAATTAGCTCCTTTTTCAAAAACACAATCCTACAAAAAAAAAACAATTTTCGGCCAGTTATCTCATTGCAGTTTGTAGCCTAGCAGTTTGTAGCCCGAATTTTGAGTTTGAGCATTTTAAATACAGTAACCCGGAAAAAACCCAAATAATCAGCAATGTTCCAAACTCAAAAAATCGAAAATTTCAAACATTTTTATTTTCTAGTTTTGTAGAAAATCTGCGAAATTGGAATGGGATATGGTAATCTGGCTGACAGTATACCTAGAAACGTATTTGAAAAATTTAGAAAATACAGCAAAAATAAAAAAATCACATTTTTCTCAAAATTTCAGGAATCGCTCTTCCTAACCGAGAATTGGGACCCGTATCTCAATTTCGTGTTGGCCCTTTTCGTGTTTGTTCTGGCGATTGGGGCTGCCGGGAAGTATCTACCGTATTGCAGGTAAAAACCCTAAAAACTTGATATGAAGGAAAATTTGATTTCAGTTTGCTGTGCGCCGTCTCGGCAGGCTTTTCTCTGATCACGTTCTTCGCCCTGGCCGACCGTCTCGATCATTTTGCCATTTATGCCGTGGTCGCCAATTTTATTAGCTGGTACGTTGAGCTTAACTGACATGCAGACCACAGACCACAACTTTTACTTTGAGGCTACATACTACAAAAATCGTACTAGGCGCACGACGCGGGTTCGATTCCGGCCGGGGGCTAACTTTTGCTTTTTGAAAATTGCGCTCATTTTTCGATTGGAATCGCTAAACTGGCATCCAGACTACATACTACAAGCATTCAAATTGCCTACAGTACCCCTAGACGTTGATGGGGCTGTTCCGAAGAACCAGAATCGCGATTTTCGGGTTGTTCTGCCCCCTTTAAATGGCTATATATAGGTATACGGTAGATGATAGTGTTGGGATGTGATAGAACTCATTCTCCTCTTTCGAATAGATCATAACAATCATCTACAGTACCCCCAAATGTCTACAGGAATCACGCGGAAAAACGGAAAAATTGAATTTGAGCCAAATTTTCGAATTGGTCTAAGATTTTGTAGTTTGTATCAAGGACTTTAATTTTTTTCGGGAATCGCTAAACTGGCAGTCAGACTACAGACTACAACTGTTAGAAATTATGATTTTCAGTCTTCCGACGATTTTCTCACGAATGCGCCTTCCGATTGGCTATTGGAAAGTGTGGAAGCCGGTGATGGAATTTCGATTTGGTAGGCAAAATTTTCGAATTAAATCAATCAATTTTATGGGTATTTATAAGGTTAATATCACCTAAAAAACGTTTTGTAATGTTCTCCGCACGATTGCTCCATTAGCAATGTTTCCTTTTTCCCACCTTTGTATTTTTTGAAACATTTTTTGTAACAAACAAACACCGTGAAAATCGCAGAATTAAATTTTTAGACAGCCAGCATCAGAAATCCGTGATAAAAATTTTTAACACACTTGAAAAAACAATTGTTGGACAGATGTCGAGAATCATTACGCAATTTCGAGTTTCCGGCTCATCTTCGTTTTTTGAAACATTTGGTTGCAAACAGCGTCAAAAATGGTTTTTTAGAATCCAAAAAACAATGGGCAGGCTAGCAGAGGAAATTTAGGATAGAAATCGTGATTTTCATATTTTTTTGTGGCCTGCTAGCTGAGGTCCGTTATTGAATTGATTCGTTATTGAATTCATTTACGTCACCAAACGGAGTATTGATTAAACAAATTGCGACTTTCCACTCCTTGCCATTTTTTAAAACACGTTGTTAGGAGAGACGGAAGACTGTTTCATGTTTTGTTGAAATAAAATCAGTTTTTCCATTTTTATTAAAACCCGAAAAACATTAGGCCAGCTAGCAGAGAGAATCTAGGATAGAAAATCTGAATTTAGATATTTTGGGGGCCAGCTAGCAGAGATTCGTGCTAAAAATAAAAGATTATCGCCTATGGGGAAATTCCCTTCAATTAGACAATTTCCTACTTTTCACTCATCATCTTTTTTTTGAAACATTTTCGTTTAGAAAAAATTTTTCAATTTTTCTCCTTTTTTATTTTTTCTAATAAAAAAATCCAAAATACCTTGGGCAGGCTAGCAGAGATCATTAAGGAACGAAAAAATCTGTTTTCAGCCTATTTCACGCTCTCCCTGTCACTATGTTCAATTGCGTGGCTGTCAATCCCGGTGGCATACGCTATGATGGCCTATCGACAATCGACGTGGACCGAGAGGGCACAGCTCATCGTTCCGCATCTCGTGAGTTTAACATTTTAACGATTGGGTGACAGTTTGAATTATCAAGCCAAAACAAAACAAAATTTTTCGAAAAATTGAGTTTCAATAATTTTCCAAAATTGGCATTTTTACATTTTTACATTTTTACAATAATTTTGAATTTCAAACTTTTGCTTCGATTCAGTATACCGATTTAAAGTCTGGATGACAGTTCGAATTTCCGTTCAAGAAAAATTAAATAGCAAAATAATCTTTTTGAAATTGTCGAATTTCGAAAAATTTGGAAACATCGGATTTTATAATTTTTGGCTTAAATTTTAAGATTGAAAGTAGTAACCGATCTAATGTGTTAACAGTTTGACACACAATTTTATGCAAAGCCAAATGTGAAATGCTTGAAAAATAATAAAATAACCGAAAATATAACAGAAATAAATGTTTCAAAATTAAACAAATGTCAGACTTTGGCGGTTGCGGCAATGGGGCAATTTTCTGTTCGAATAAGAGACGAAATTTTTTTCCAAAAATTCTTTAGTTTTGTGGTTTTTCAAAATATTAGAATAACAATAATAATAACGATCGGCTTTTTTTCGGCAAAAAAATGCAAAAAGTCTTGCATTTTTGAATGTCTAACCAAATTTTGATTTCCGAAGCCGATGAGTTTGTCAATTTAAAGGTTAGGTGACAGTTTAAATCCCTAAAAACCAATAATATAAACAGCAACAAAAAATTGGCGAAAAAACGTGAAAAACCTTATTTTTTTGTAGATTTGCATCGTTTGGGCGGATATCGCGATGACAATGTGGATGATTGGGTGGCAATCATTTACGGTAGGGAAATCCAGAGTTCCTCATATTTTCCGAAAAGAGTGCCGAATTTTTGCGACGGCCTAATTAGCTTTTTGTGGAGAGAAAAAAAGCGTTCAAATATCTGACCAACTCAAATTATTCAATTTCCATGGGCGCAAGATCCATAAAATGGCGAAACATTGGATTTTGTCAATATTTTGCTCAATTTTTTTGCGTGGCGTAGCGTGATTAGGTTACGGTAGAAAAAAATCAGGAAAACCTATTTAAAATCGAGTAAAAAGCAAAATTAAAATTAGCTTAAGATTTGAAATGGATTTTTTTGTCAATTTTTGTATTTTTCATTTGTTTTTGAGAAAAACGTTTACCTGTAAAACGGGCAAAACGAGACTACCGTAATCCTCATGTTTCAGCGAGAAACGGGCTATTGACGCGCAACCCCAAAACAATTTGGGGAGGCGAGGAACACGAAAATAAAAATATTTTTGTAGCAAAAAGAATTTTTGTTTCTTTTTCATTTTATTTTTGTTTTTCAATCTTATTTGGTTTTTAGCGATTTTAATTTTCAGTACATCGATGGGTTATTGACGGCGAGTGCGGCAATTCTCTTCTTCCTCCCCAGCAGTTATTCCATGACTATTGGCATCGTCTTTGCCGGGGCTCTACTCGCCCAGATTCGCCCATTTGTGCAATGGGTATGTTTTAATGATTTTATTAATTAAAATGCCAGACAATTAACAGATTCAAACTATAAGAGTTCAAAAAATAATAATTTTTTTCAAAAAACATAAAAAATCAGAAATGTCGCCAATTTTTTGCCATTATGTTTGCTAAATTCGATTTATTTTTTTACATGTCTTTTTTATTTTTAAATTGAGGAGTAATTTAATTGATCATCAATCCTTCAGCTGAGCGTGGCGAAGGCGTTGGTCACCCTCTGCGTCTTGGCATCACCCTTCATCTTCGCCAAGCTGTACGGATACGTCGCCAAACTCTACAAAGTACAAGGTAATACGGGTTGTAGTTTGTAGTCTGGATGCCAATTTCATCATAACCGAAAAAACTTGGATTTTAGCTAGAAACCAAAAAAAAGTTACGCCCTTGCGAAAATTTGGCAAAAATCCAATTTTTCCGATTTTCCGTTTGATTCCTGTCGACATTTGGGGGTACTGTAGATGATTGTTATGATCTATTCGAAAGAGGAGAATGAGTTCTATCACATCCCAACACTATCATCTACCCTATCCCTAGATCTAGCCACTTAAAAGCGGCAGAACAGCCGGAAAATCGCCATTTTGGCACGTCGCCAAAACGGTCCTATTGGCGTCTAGAGGTACTGTGGCTCGCTTTCAAGTCAAGTTTTTCGGTATTCTGGATGCCAATTTAGCGATTAGCAACTTAAGCTCGACATAAATTCCAAAAAACAAATAACCGGAATTCGAACCCGGGTGGTCCGCTAGTAGCTTTTCGGTAGTCTGTAGTCTCAAAATAAGCGTTGTAGTTTGTAGTCTGGATGCCAGTTTAGGTATTCTGATAATAAAATAGAGACCAAAATCATATTTCGTAGAGCATTACCCTCTGAAACTGGTTGATGCGAAAAATCCGACCACAAAAAAAAATCGATATTTTTGCAGTATTTCCGGAAGATTCGAAGAAGCGCCGCTGGGTGTTGGCCATGGCGTATTTGTTGGCCCTGCTGATGGCCGTCTCGTTCCTCTATCAGGGCCAATTCCAATTCGATCCGCGTGTTGATGTTTCGAACATGACCTGGTAGGCCGGTTTTCTGCAAGCCAAAAAATCCTCGAAATTGCGAATTGTTAATCTGTTTTTTTTTGTGTATTTCGTAGTCTGTAGTCCAGAATACGAAATACAAAAACAATTTTTTGAAAATATTACAAATTCTGCGAGATACGGTACATTTAATAAGGCAATTTCACAAAATCTGATTCTTTAATTTTTCTTATATTTTCTTAATTTTTGGATCTATTCTTGAGCATAGTTTGTAGCCTGCAATCCAGACTACAGAATACGAGCGCAAAAAAATTAATTGATAATACACTTGAGTATCTACATATTAGTGGGCTAAAAATTTGCAAAATCCAGGAAAATTTATGAAACACTTTGTTTTTAATGATATAGATTTAAAAATAGCCCAAAAGTCTCATTTAAGCAGTATGATTTAAATTGGCATGCGATTAAACAAGTTTACGCGATAGGATGGAATCCGAGATTTCTGCGCATTAATAGGCGAAAACTCGGAATTGTCCTTCCCCTTTTATGAAACCTTTTGTTTTTCTTCATGAAATTTAGGTAAAGTTTCATTCTTTTATTTCTTCTCCGTTAAATTTTTTAAAATTTTTTGATGCAGTTTGTAGCCAGTAGCCCAGAATACGAAATACAAAAACAATTTTTTGAAAATATTACAAATCCGGCGAGATACGGTACATTTAATAAGGCAATTTCACAAAATCTGATTCTTTAATTTTTGTTATATTGTTATAATTATTGGATCTATTCTTGAGCATAGTTTGTAGCCTGCAACCCAGACTACAGAATACGAGCGCAAACAACGTAATTGAAAATACGTGACCTTCAACAAATTAGTGGGCTTAAAATTTGCAAAACTAGGAAAATTCATGAAACATTTTGTTTTTAATAACATCGATTTAAAAATAGCCAAAAATGCTTTATTTAAGTGGCATGATTTACACTGGCATGCAAATGAACTAGACTATCTGATAGGCCGCGTTGAGATTTCTTCACATTAATAGGCTAAAACTCGGAATTCTCTTTGCCATTTCATGAAACCTTTTTTTGGTAGAATTTAGATTCAGATTCATTCTGTTATTTCTTCTCCGGCAAATTTTTGTATTTTTGTTGTCGTTAGTAGATCCAGAATAAGAATATCAGAATATCCAGAATACAAAATACGAGGGAAAAATTAGTCGAAAATATGAAAGCTACGGACTGTCCGCACATTGGTGGGCTAAAAATTTGCAAAACTAGGCAAATTTATGAAACACTGTATTTTTAATGACATTGATTTAAAAATAGCCAAAATGCTTGGTTTAAGTAGCATGATTTACACCGGCATGCAAATAAACTAGTTTACGCGATAGGATGGAATCCGAGATTTCTGCGCATTAATAGGCGAAAACTCGGAATTATCCTTCCCCTTTTATGAAACCTTTTGTTTTTCTTCATGTAATTTAGGTAAAGTTTCATTCTTTTGTTTCTTCTCCGTTAAATTTTTGTTTTAATTTTTTGAGGTAGTTTGTAGTCTGTAGTCCAGAATACGAAATACAAAACAATTTTTAGAAACTCGTCGAGATACGGTACCTTTAATACTGCAATTTTCACAAAATCTGATTCTCTAATTTTTCTTATATTTTCTTAATTTTTGGATCTATTCTTGAGCATAGTTTGTAGCCTGCAATCCAGACTACAGAATACGAAACTTAATTGAAAACACAAGTGAGGATTTATAAATTAGTGGGCAAAAATTTGCAAAACTAGGAAAAGTTATGAAACACTTGATTTTTAATAACATTGATTTAAAAAAATATCCAAAATGCTTTATTTAAGTAGCATGATTTACACTGGCATGCAAATAAACTAAACTACGCGTTAGAATGTAACCGGAGAACTCAATAATACGCTATAATCCGGAATTATCATCCCAATTTTATGAAACCTTTTGTTTTTCGTGGGAGTAGGCAAAGATTTATCCTGTTATTTCTTCTCCGCTAAATCGTTCATGTATTTTGGTGTAGTTTATAGCCTGTAGTCCAGAATACAAACTACCAAAAGAATGTTTAGAAAATATTGCAAATACAGGGTGTCCCAAAAAAAATCGGCCCCCCTCTAGCGGACCGCAGAAAGCTCGGATCGGAATGATTTTCACACCATTCGAAAGCCCTTCAAACGGTGAGAAAACAAGCGCCTTTGGTTTTCCAAAAAATTTTAGCCTTCGCTCGATATTCAATGATTTCTGTAAAAAGCGTAAAACCAGCATCGTCCTGTTTGCTTTAGCAAGCAATTAACATGCCGATTTTGCATAAAATCTGCAGTTTTCATCGATTTTGGCCCTAAATTTAATGAATTAAAATTCCCATATTGAAAAACGAAAAGTGCTTGTTTTCTCGCCTTTTCGAGTGCTTTCGATAGATACCTAAATCGTCAAAATCGGACATGACTGCGGCCCGCTAGAGAGGGGGTCGATTTTTTTTGGGACACCCTGTATATCGAGCTATCGTACTTTTAATAGGAACAAATCTGGCGCTTCCAAAAATTGGATTTTTAAACAATTTATGAATTTTCGGTTCTTGGGTGTAGTTTGTAGCCTGTAGCACAGAATGCAAAATCCCAAGACAATTTTTTTAAATATTACAAATCTTGCGAGATACCGTACTTTTAATACGGTATACGATTAGTACGGGCCAGCGCATCGGCCAAAAATTTGCAAAACTAGGAAAATTTATGAAACATTTTGTTTTTCATAATATGGATTTAAAACTAGCCCCATAGTCTCTCATTTAAGTAGTATGATTTAAATTGGCATGTGATTAAACTAGTCTACGCGACAAGATTTAATTCGCGGTTGTCTACCTATTAATAGGCTAAAACTCGGAACCGTCCTTCCCCTTTATGAAACCTTTTTTTTCTTGGGATTTGGGCAAGGATTTATTCTTTCATTTCTTCTCCGTTAAATGGTTCATGTATATTGGTGTAGTTTATAGCCTGTAATCCAGAATACAAACTACAAAACCAATTTTTGGAAAATATTGCAAATATATCGAGCTATCGTACTTTTAATAGGAAAAAAATCTGGAACTTCCAAAAATCGGATTTTTAAAAAGTTTTGAATTTTTCGATTGTCGGGTGTAGTTCGTAGCCTGTAGCACAGAATACAAAATACTGGCAAAAAATTAATCGAAATAATGAAACCGACTGGAATCAAGATATTAGTGGGCCAAAAGTTTACAAAACTAGAAAATTTTTTGAAACACGTTCTTCTTCGCAGAATTTAGTTAAAAATACGATTAGGTATCCTGTTTTCAGTCGTAAAATTTAAACTGGCTTGAAATTAAACTAGAGAAGCTAAAGGATGCAAATCAAGGCAATGCATTAATAGGCCAAAATTCGGTATTCTCATTGTCATTTTATGAAGCATTTTGTTTTTCGCAAAATTTATGTAGAGATTCATTCGGTGATTCTTCTCCTTTTATTTTATCTTTTTGTTGTAGCCTGTAGCCTGTCGCCCAGAATACAAACTACAAAAACAACGTTTAGAAAATATTGCAAATATCTCGAGTTACGGTGCTTTTAATGCGCATAAAACACGATATTTTCCAAAAATTGATTTTTTTCCTTTTGCTATGTATTTTTAATTTTAAATATTTTATGATTTAAACTGGTCCCCAATTAAACTAATTAACCGTTCAGGATGCAATTCGAGAAGCACTGCGCCCCCCGATCGGCCAATCAAATATCCAGCCAAATTGACTGCTCCCAGCTGAAAGGGACGGCCGTACAGTGGAAGGGCAGCGTACAGGTCCGAATTTTTATGCATTTTATAATTTGCTTTTCATTTATTAAAACTGCCTAGTAGTGAATTAAATCCAAGAAAAAGTGATTTTTACAGACGCTAAGAATTTTTGAAAATCGAAAAATTGTTGTTTTTTCGAAAAATTCGCTCGTGAGAGTTCGATCCGAAAAATTCAATGAAAAATCCGGTTTTTTATTGTATAAATTAAACCGAATCAGGTTCATTAAAATAAAAGAAAAATAAATCACAAAAACCAAAATTTTTGAAAATTTTGGTTTCCCGCCAAAAATTCAAAATCCAAAAATTCAATCCTCAAATGTCGCAATTTTTTCGTGCATTTTTTGTTGTGTTTTGTAGCCCATCAACCAGAATATCGATTTAACTGATATAAATAAAATTTCAGCGAACCGGCACCGGGAAAAAAAAAAAAAAAAAAAGGGGGTGAAAAACGAGGAAAAAACGGCCCAAAAAAAGGGGGGGGGGGGGGGGGGGGGGGGCCCGAGAAACCCACCGCCGGGAAAGGGGGGTGGGGGGGAATTTTTTAACGATTAAAAACTATTTTGACAACAATTTTTCGCAAAAATTTAAATTTTTAGGTTTTAAAATATAATTTTTTAGTCAATCCGTATAACTGGGATCGAGAACGCGTTTGAGTCGTTGCTCGGCTACGTGCCAGAATCATTGGGACAGACGATACGATGCTTCTACGACAACAATTCGACTTTGATCTCACATCCTAGTGGAATGAGGTAAAAAGCCCATTTTCCGCAAATTTTCGCTGCTAGATGGCCACGCTGGAAGTTGTAGTTTGTAGGCTGGATGCCAGTTATAGACAGCACGCAAAAAAAAACTTAAAAAATTAAGCTCCAAATTCAAAAAGCAAAAAGTTGGCCTCGGCCGGGATTCGAACTTGAGTCGTTAGCCTAGGACTTCTTCTAAGTTTGTGGCCTCTGTCTAAGAGTTGTAGTTTGTAGTTTGGATGTCAGGTCAGCAATTTCTGGCTCAAAATTAGTTCAATTTTCAAAAAGTAAAAATCGAGCCCCGGCCGGGATTCGAACCCGGGACATCCACCTAGTAACTTTTCTGGAGTTTGTAGTCTTGATCTAAGGGTTGTAATTTATATTCTGGATGTCAGTTGAGCTATTACAAGAATAATGTTCTTTTTATAGTTTGTAGTTCGATTTTTCTAACCCTATATCTTTGCAGACCGAACCAATGCTCCCTCACCGCCCACAACGTCTACAGTTTCGAGGTGGAATTATCGGGACCGTATGGCGAGAGAGTGGTACGCAATTTTTGAGGTTATTTTGAAAACTACAGTACCTTAGACGTTAATAGCCCACCTTCATAAAATCGTGAAAATCGCGATTTTTCCCATGTTCTGCCCCCTTTAGATGGCTAGATCTAGGGATAGGGTAGATGATAGTGTTGGGATGTGATAGAACTGATTCTCCTCTTTCGAATAGATCATAACAATCATCTACAGTACCCCCAAATGTCAACAGGAATCCTGCGGAAAATCGCAAAAATTAGATTTTTGCCATTTCGAAGGGGTCTAACTTTCTGTAGTTTGTAGCTAGGGCTCTAATTTATACAACCAACGCCTTACTGGTAGCCAGTTTATAACAAAATATAGTAAGATCGACTACAGTACCCTTGGGCGTCAACAGGAATCCAACGGAAAATCGGAAAATTTGAGTTTTTTTGGATTTTTCGAATGGATTTAACTTTTTATAGTTTGTAGCCCGAACTCTAATTTTTTGGCATTCATTAAGCTGGCATACACAATAGCCAATAAAATTATAACAATTAATTCAGGTGAGCTCCTCGAAGGGTCTGCTCCACGTCTCGGCCACCCACGCATTCACCGAGATGTTGAAATTGCTGGATGAGGGTAAGATTTTTATTTTTGGTTTTTTGAACAATCCAATTTTTAATTATCTATTTTTTATTTAAAATTGAAAATGACGTCATTTAAATTTCAAAATTTTTCACAATTTTGACTTAATCAAAAATGTTTCAAAAATACCAAAAAGGTGGAATTTTTTAGAAAATACAGTTAACGTTTGAAAGTCAACTTTCTAGCAATCTGAAAATAATAAGAACACGCGAAAACATTATTCGGCAAGATTTAAATTACCAGATTTTCGAAACGACGATTTTTGAGTTTTAATGTTTTAAAAATTACTAAAAAAGAGGAATTTGAAAAATTTACATTAGAATCTAGCTGCAAATCGGTTTGAAATCTGAATTTATAGCAATCGAAGGCTACTAAAAAAAACACTAAAAATACATTTTTGTAGATTTGGCAGTTAGGCGGAAAATAAAAATTGGCTCCCCCTCCCCCCGCTAACAGCCCAGTACCGAATTTTTAATTATTTTCATTTTTTCTAGCATTTTTTTGTTTTAAATGACTTAATTAAATTATTAACGGAATTGAACTGATTTTATAGGAGATATCGTTCAATTCGTTGCCCTATTCGACAACTACCCGATATTCCGCTATCCACCCCGGCTGAAGCTCGTCCAGCTCGAATGTATACACTGTAATAAGGTAAATAACGACTTTATGAATGAGATATAAGTGCTGTAGTCTGTAGTCTGTATGCCAGTTTATCGATTTGTACCGAGAAATCACCTTCAATTTCAAAAAAGCAAAAGTTAGTCGCGGCCGGGATTCGAACCCGGCTGGTTGGCCGATGATCGATTCCGTAGCCTGTAGTCTCAAAGTAAAAGTTGTAGGCTGTAGCCTGGACGTCAGTTTACCTATCGCACTCGAAAAACTGGATCAATATACAAAAAGCAAAAAGTTAGCGCCGGCCGGGATTCGAACCCGGGTCGTTCACCTGGTTGCGATTCTGTAGTCTGTAGTCTCGGGATAAGTGGTGTAGTTTGTAGTATGTATTTCAGCTTAGCAATTCCATTCACTCAATAAGTTAAATTTTCAAAAAGCAAAAAGTGCGTACCGGGCGAGGGTCGAACCCGGGTCGTCAGCCTGCCAGATTTTCTGTAGATTGTAACCTCAAAGTAAGAGTTGTAGTCTGCAGTCTGGCTGCCAGTTTATTGATTGACAGCAAAGGAACCTCATAAACCCTTTCCAGTTCCAAAAGAATCGCCATTCCCACCTCCGCGTGACGTCTTCCAAGATGGACCGTACGGGCGTATGGAGCCGTATCTTCAACGCATTCAAATTTTTCTTCCATTTCGTGTTTGCGCCGTTTATTAGGATTCGATGATTATTGAGCTAAAATTGCATAATTTAGGATTTTCTAAAATGTAAAAAAAATTGTAAGTTGTAAGTTGTGTAAAAATCACGAAGCAGGCCCAAAAATTTTGAATAATTTTTTTTGTTAGCAAAAAGGCCAGTTCAAACAAAGTCAGCGGATTTTTGTACGATAAACGAAACATGTTTTCTTTAAGGAAAAACATTTTTGAAATTGGTGAAATACATGTTTCAAAAAACTCTGAAAATCCGCGGAATAGAAAAACCCCAGTGCGGCGTTTGCTTTAATGAATGAAATATTACGAGTGGCTACTCGTTACTGTGCATTTTGAAGACCAAAAAAATGATTGTAAATTCTGTTTGTTTTTGTAGTTGTAATTACAGAACAGTACCTTCAGTATTAATTTTCGAACGTAATAAAGCCCTTTTCATAAACTTCACAAAAACCATTTTTGTTTGAAAAAATGTTTCGAAAAAATTCCGAAATTTGCGGAAATAAAAAACGCTAGTTCCGCCAACATGTTTTTTGAAAAAAAATAAAAAATTACGAGTCGCTCCTCTTTACTGCGCATTCATTACAGCATTTCCCCTTTGATTCCCATTTTAATTGCTTGTAACTGTTGAGCTTTTTTGTAATTGTTATTACGTGCATTCAATTGCATCCAAATTCATTAGCCTTACTTCGCTAGCATCGTTTTTGAATAAAGAAGTCACTGAACTGCGGCTACACAGCAATCACATTCTTCAACAAATTTTTGAAACACTTTTTTGCAATTTTGTAAATTTTCTATATTTTCTTATTGCTACAGTATTTTAGGCTGTCGAACAACTAAAAAAAAACCGTCTTCAAACCCCTAAAAATTAGAAGAGAAATTCTAAAATTCAAAAAATGTATTTTGCTTTGCGATTTGTCTTAAAACGCGTTTAATTTGACTTTGTAAATTTTGCAAATTCAGCTGCATAAAAAACGGATTTTTCAATTCGTATAAATATTTTTCTCGTCAAATTAATACCAATTCTGCAAAATTTAAATTTTTAGTAAATTTTGAAACATGTTTTGCGGAAAATAAAATACTCGCCAATTCGGCGCGACACTCGTTTATTGCAATTGAAAAATTGCACCAGCATACAATTGAAAAATAACCTTTAAACTCCTGGAAAAATACAAAAAAATGTTAAGAAAACAAAAATAGAAAATCCTCAAAAATCCATTTATTCGGCAGGAAAGCTGCCACACAAAAAAATCACGGCACGTTGAAAGAAAGCGAACATACAAGGGGAAAAATTGAGGAGAAAGGGGGCGTGGCTTATTGGGAAAATTGAACGATTTCGATCGATATTCCACCCCCGAATTGGCCGTCCAATCACTCGTCCGTCTTCTCGTAGGGGCGGCTCGGCCAGATTCCTGTAAAATCACGATAATTTTTGTGTGGTTTGTAGTCTGCCTGGCAGTTTAGAAATCCCATAGAAAAAAGATACCAAAAATTCAAAAAGCAAAAAGTTGGCCGCGGCCCGGGTTCGAACCCGGGCCTTGAGATTGAGGCGCGTTTGTATTTCGGTACCTCAAAAATGGGGTTTGTACTTTGTATCTGCATGTCAGTTTACCGATTCCCGAAAGAATTAGAGCTCTAGCTACAAACTACAAAAAGTTAGAGCCCTTCGAAAATTTGACTAAATCCCAATTTTTCCCGATTTTCCGGGTGATTCCTGTTGACATTCAGGGGTACGGTAGATAATTGTTAAGATTTATTCGAAAGAGGAGAATGAGTTCTATCACATCCCAACACTATCATCTCCCCTATCCCTATATCTATATCACGATTTTCGCACTTCCACTCGCTCCAATTGACGATTATAGGTACTGCAAATAGTTTTAATTATTTATTGTGTAGTATGGGCGACAGTTTAGCGACTCATATCAAAAATTTCGTAAAATTTTCAAAAAGCAAAACAGTCAGCCGCGTGCGGGGGTCGAACCCGGGTAGTTTGCCTATTAGATTTTCGATAGTCTGTAGCCCAGATTTCAAAGCTGTAGCTTGTAGTCTGGATGCCAGTTTATGGATTCAACCCAAAAAGGGTAATCTAGCGGAGACCATTAGCCCATACCATTCTTTTTTCCCTTCCCGGCTCCATCCGTCGATTCGTCCGTAGTGTCATTAGTGATTGTCGCGTTGCGGTCGCGTCGCTTCTTTACCCAGCAGTAGAGGGAGGACAGACAGATGCAGAGGATGATCGTCGTCAGCACGCCGTGTATCACCAGAACCAAGGTGAGCGAGCTGCAAAAAGGGGGCTTGGCTTCGTACCTCACTGATTTTTTGCTCTCTAAAATTTACCTAGTACAGCCATGGGTCTAATTGACATGCTAATCGTTAAACTGCGATTCGGACTACCAACTACGACCCCAACCTCAAGGCTACCGACTACAGAAAAGCTACTAGGCGAACGACCCGGGTTCGATTCCCGCCGGGGGCTAAGTTTTTGCCTTTTGAAATTTTTGTTTGTTTCTTGATGGGAAAGGCTAAACTGATATCCAGACTACATACAACAGTTAGACCACCGCTACAGTGCGACGACAATTGGATCACTTCGGAACAGTGCCAAAATCGTGATTCTTGCCATGTTCGTGCTCCTTTAACTGGCTAGATCTAGGGATGGGGTAGATGATAGTTTTGGGATGTGATAGAACCCATTCTCGTCTTTCGAATAGATTATAACAATCATCTACAGTACCCCAACTGTCAACAGGAATCCAACGGAAATGAGGAAAAATTGGAGATTTCGCCAAATGTTCGAATTTGTCTAACTTTTTATAGTTTTTAGCTAACGCTTTAATTCTTTCGGAAATGGCTAAACTGGCAGGTAGACTACAAAATACCTTCATTATTTTGGAAATGCTTCCTCAAATCTCTCTGCTAGGAGGCCCAAAGTCCAAAAAACCAACTTCTTCGCCTCACTATCGTCTTGGGTCTTCTTTTTCTTCTTCCTCTTCCCAAAATCGTCACTCTAAAAACGTTTCCTTTTCATTGCGTAATCTGTTAGCCCCACCTCCTTAGGCATCACAAAATCGTGTTCGCGCGTCCAGTTCAGCCGAGATCCACAGACATTTTCACGCTTCAGGGCAACACCCGTTTCCGCGTCTTCCTGGAAAAAAAGCAGAGAGCAAATGGTCTCGGCTAGCTGCCTGGCTGCCAGTTTACAAGTTCCTAAAGGTTCTCTGCCAGCCTGTCCATCCAATTCCTCACATAACCTCTGCTAGCCAGCCGCCGGATCAAATTGCTAAATTCCTCAAAGAATCTCTGCTAGCCTTCCATAAATTCCAAAAATTATCTCTGCTATCTCTTTGGCAGCCATTTTACACTTTCCACAAGATTCTCTGCTAGCCTGCCCCCTCCCTGACCCACATCATCCCTTTCATATCGGTTGTAGAGGTTCAGCAGCTGCCGATTCACCGTCGACCTCATCGCCATTCCGGCCGTCGTTTCTGGAAAAAAGCAAATTAAAGTTTAAGCAACTTAATTTGATTTAGTTGAATTTAATTAATTACTTTATCATAACTAAAATAATGGGATTAAAAAAATACTTCAAATACAGCAAAAAAATGTTTCAAAATTTTTATAAAAACAAGAATTTTTGAACTTTTGATTTCTCGATTTCTCCTTGTTGAATTCCCTTGTTGTTTTTTCTGCTTTAAAATCTACCTAAAAATACTAAATATTAAATTAGCAACTTTAATAATTACTGCAAAATATAAAAATCGAAAAATCGCCATTTTCAGGGGCCGTGTTTTCGGAAGTAAAAAAATAGGTACTGGACTGTTATAGGGGGAGTTAAAATTTGGTTTTACGTTTGTATGTAGTTTTATAGTGTTTTTTTGTAGTTTTAGGTGGCTAGAAAATTGTAGCGAACTTTAGAAGATCAGATCAGAGATCATGAAAATTGCCGATTTTTAGGAATTTTTGAAACATTTTACCGGAAATATGAAAAATCAAAAATTGCTAAAATTTTTTTTAACGCGTTTCATCGGATCGCAAAACAGCGTAAGTGCCCGAAAATAGTTTATATTTTTCTATAGGTTCTAAAAATCACAGGCTAATCGCAAATGACCTCAAAATCCCCGAAAAAATGTGTTTCAAAAAATTGCCAAGATCAAATTTTTTATTATTGCTATTATTTTAATAAAAAATGTTCAAACACATTTTTAAAAGGGTTTCTGAATTAATAACATCTAAAATACAAACTATTATATCGGCAAGCTTAAAAATTCCTCTAAATTTAAAAAATTCAGAATTAAAAAATCTAATTAATTTTTAATACTTTCAATAATTTTAGAAATGTCTAGTTAAATGTTAAATTTAAAGTGAATTTAATAAGTTATGGGCCCACTGCAAAAGCATTGATCTGTCTTGCTGTTGTCCCTCTCGACGCCGATATAACAGCCGATATCCCGATCCTCTTCATCATTCCATTCCATGCAGAACACCTCCTTGGGACCCTGGCAGGCTGAAAATGGGTGTGGTCCGTAGTCTGTCTGCCAGTTTAGGCATTGCTAATCAAAAATCATGCCAAAGTTCAAAAAGCAAAAAGTTAGCGGCGGTCGGGATCCGAACCCGGGTCCTTTACCTGGCAACGATTCTGTAGCTTGTAGTATAGCGTTGAACATTGTAGTTTGTAGGCCAAGTGTCAGTTTAACCATTCCCAAAAGATTAGGCCCCTATCTACAAACTACAAAAAATTAGACGAATTCGAAAATTTGGCTAAATCCCAAATTTTCCTGATTTCCGTTATATTGCTGTAGACATTTGGGGGTACTGTAGATGATTGTTATGATCTATTCGAAAGAGGAGAATGAGTTCTATCACATCCCAACACTATCATCTACCCTATCCCTAGACCTAGCCATTTAAGGGGGGCGGAACACCCGGAAAATCGCTTTTTTACACTTTGCCGAATCGATCCTATTGGCGTCTAGGTGTACTGTAGCCGGATTCTAACGTTGCTTTAGTGTCTACTGGATGTCATTTTAGCGACTCCTAGATGAATTACGTCATGCAATACCCATTTTCCCTACCGTAAGTGATCATTTCCGGATAGCCGAGCGCCCTGTCGTCTTTCTCGATTCTTTCGGAGAAGAATATCCTCTGCGTCTCTGCCCTATTCCACACCATTCCCTCTGCCCCTCTGCCGTCACATTCTCCATTCAGATACGGTAGACCGTGCTGCGAGCACAGGTATGGTACCTGCAAAAACGGGGTGAAAACGCAGGAAACTAGGCAAAGAGTCTCTGCTAGCATGCCCTGATTTCCCTAATTGTCTCTGCTAGCTCCCCGGCAGCCAGTTTACAGATTCCCCAAATTTCCCTGCTAACCTACCTCTCTAATTCCTCAAAAATCTCTGCTAGCCCGCCGTCACTCAGAATTCCTCAAAGAAACGCGGCTAGCATACCCTGGATTTTCCCTAATTGTCTCTGCTAGCTCACTGGCAGCCAGTTTACAAGTTCCCCAAGTTTAGCTGCTGGCCATCCCTCCGATTCCCCAAAAACCCCTGCTAGCCTGCCCCCCAACATTCCTCAAAAATCTCGGCTAGCTGACCGGCAATTCCCAGTCCTCGAGGTTGCGGTATTGTCCTTTGGCCATATGGGGGCACAGCGAGGACGGCTGCAATTACATCGCGTAATCGATGAATCTAAAAAATGGGAAAAACCCGGTTGAGGATGCGGGCGTATTCGGCGAGTTGTGGGTGCATCGCTTCCAGCAATTTCGGCTTCTCGTTCGCGATGTACGCTGCAATAAATGACTCCATCTTAGCTGATGGGTGCCAGTTTAGCGATATCCGCAAGAATCTCTGCTAGATTCAGCTTTTAAAGGCCCAGGCAAGGCAATTTTTAGGCCTGGATTCATTATGGATTCTTGCCTTCAATGGTCCTTTAAAAGCTTTGAAAAATTGATTTTTGAGCTGCTTGTATGCCAATTCAGAAATATCCGCAAAAATCTCTGTTAGATCCTTTTAAAGGCCCAGGCAAGGCAATTTTTAGCTCTGGATTCACTGTGGATTCTTGCGTTCAGCGGTCCTTTAAAAGCTTTGAAAAATTGATTTTTGAGGTGCTTGTATGCCAGTTTAGCGATATCCGCAAAAATCTCTGCTAGATTCAGCTTTTAAAGGCCCATTGAATGCTATTTTTCTGACCAAGAAGTATCTATGGACTCATGCCTTCAATGGTCCTTTAAAAGCGGGGACAAATTAAATTTCGAGGTACTTGCATCCCAGTTTAGCCATATCTCCGGAAATATCTGCTAAACTGCCCCTTTTAAAGGCCCATTGAAGGCATTTTTTAGCTCTGGATTCACTGAAGATTCTTGCCTTCAATGGTCCTTTAAAAGCTTTCAAACATAGACTTTTGAGGTGCTTGTATGCCAGTTCAGCAATATCCGCAAAAATCTCTGCCAGATTGCTCCTTTTCAAGGCCCATTGAAGGCAAATTTTCGTCATGGATTCGCTATGGATTCCTGCCTTCAATGGGCCTTTAAAATTTAGCAAGTCGAGTTTCAAGGTTGCTGCTCCTGCTGCTGTCTGCTCCCCACACGCCACCCACCTGGCCCACTACTGTGAAGGGGGGTCCCATAGGTTTTCCCTTGAGATGGCCAATGATTGCCCCAGAGCTTAGGCTTAGGCTTAGGCTTAGGCTTAGGCTTAGGCTTAGGCTTAGGCTTAGGCTTAGGCTTAGGCTTAGGCTTGGGCTTAGGCTTGGGAGCTTAGGCTTAGGCTTAGGCAGGCTTAGGCTTAGGCTTAGGCTTAGGCTTAGGCTTAGGCTTAGGCTTAGGCTTAGGCTTAGGCTTAGGCTTAGGCTAAGCGAGGTCGCCCATGGAAATCGGTCATATCGATAGGCTTAAGCCTCCATTGCTTTAATATTTAAAATTTGCCTTGCCAATCCCTTTAAAGGACCATTAAAGGGAGCGCGAAAGCGCAAACTGACCGCAGTGGCATCCATTAAAATCGACCGTATCCTTTGCGTAGCATCCGGCGATTTTTGCGTCAAATTTTGGGGAGTTGCCCTCCTCGAAGAAGAGTTGGCAGGCCACCTGGTTCTCCGGGCATACTGAAAGCAAGGGGGATTTGGATAGTAATCGCTGAACTGGCAGGCAGGCTACAAACTACAGCTTTTATTTTGAGACTACAAACTACAGAAAGATTACCAGGCGCGTGACACCGGTTCGGATCCCCGCCGCAGCTAATTTTTTTGCTTTTTGAAATTCGAGTCGGTTTCTCGATTGGAGTGGCTAAACTGGCAGCCAGGCTACAAACTGCAACTATCATACAGTGGCTACTGACTACAAAAAGGTATGGGGCGAGTGTCCCGGGTTCGATTCCCGGCCGAGGTCGAACTTTTTGCTTTTTGAAATTTGAGTGGTTTTTCGATCGAAATGGCTAAACTGGCAGAAAAACTACAAACTACAACACGGTGATCCAGGCTACAGGCTACAAAATCCGATTTCAGTGCCCAAAAACAAGCTGGAGGCTGCCTACCGTATCCCTGCTCCTCGTCCTGATTCTGAATGACGAAAATGGTTCGTTCCGCGAAGCCCACGGCCTCAATTTGCCTGCCGGGTGTCGATCGGTGCTCTTCGTAGCTTTTCGGGCCAGCGCTCTGCGGGATCAGGTATCCTGAAAAAGGACAGATTTTGCAAAACTCAAGCTTAAAATTCCGGTTTTTCCCGGTTAAAAATGGTTGTAATTTGTAGCCTGTGGGTCAGAATATCGATTGCCAAAATTGACCTTGATTTCATAAATAATCTCGGCTAGCTAGCCCGGCCCCAAAAACACAAAATTTTGACCCCGGTGGCCTTGCCGGTACTGGTCTGTTAGCGGGGGAGCTAATGTTTTCTGTTCAGTTGGTTAAAAATCAGTCGTGAATCTTTATAATATTTATTATAGTTATATTATATTTATTATAGTTTTTGATCGCCAAAAATGTATGTGATATTGCCCGAACTCGAAAATTTTGATTGTTTTAAATTTTTGAAACATTTTTCAGCAAAAATTCAAACTACAAATTTTTTATAATTTATTAAATGCTCTAAAAAATGGTTGAGATTTCGTTATAAGGCGCTAAGGAATTACAGGGAAAAATTAGCCCCCCCCCCCCCCTCGCTAACACACCAGCACCCTTCTGGGGCAGGCTAGCAGGGGATTCTTTGCGAAAAATAAAAACGTACTCAGAGCGGCGGCAGCGGGCCATAAGCCGATCAAGATGAAGCCGAAAAGCAGCCGGCTTCCCATTACCGGAGAATTTGATGAAATGCCAAATTTTGCCCATTTTTCACGTCTTTAAAATTCCAAATTCGCATTGAAATTTTGGAAGTATGATTGTATTTCGTAGTACGAACGAATTAATGAAAACTACTTTTTGCATCTACTAATTTCTCCGAAACATAAAATTCCTGAAACAAGCGGAAAATCAAAATTTAATGAAATTAGCTTTTATTTGTCGACCCTGCTGGCTCGAGATTTAATCCCACAAAGAATCCCTGCCAGCATGCCCCGCTGAAAATCGATGGAAAGAAGTCCTGAACCAAAAACCAATATTTTTCGGTAACCTTCAAAAATTTATGAAACATTTGAAAACGAAAGAAATTCTTTTTCATACGGTATTTTCCTAAATGCTCTTTGCTGGCTTGCCCAGCTCTAAAAGATTAGCCGAATTCCGCCAAGAATCACTGCTGGCCTGCCGTTTTGCTTGCGAATTCGGGAAATTTCAGCAAAACACTGCACAGCAGGAATTATTTAATCCGCAACAATTCGTACCATCAAAATCCAGAAACATTTTTTTTGCTGTATTGTTCTGAGGAAATCAATTGATAAGCAAATGGTCCCTGCTAGCCTGCCTTTCTCGAGTTTTTCGAGTATTTTTTTAGTGATATGGAAGAAGGAAGAATCGAAGTTTGCCATTATATTAATAAAATACAATTTTTCGCATGTCCTAATTTGTACGAAACATTTATTTTTTTTTTTAATTTTCGAAAATGAAGATGGCTTTGATTTTTTCTTTTGTTTTTGTTTCCTTGATTTGATTTGATATTAACGAGCGAAAAATTTTTGCATCTACTAATTTCTCCGAAACATCAAATTTCGAAAAAATTATCTAAAAGTAAAAATCGAAACTGGCTTTGATTTGTATCCCTTCTCTAAATGATCTCTGCTAGTTTGCCTGCTCCATTTCACTTGTTTCGAGGTTTATTTCCGCAAAGAATCCCTGCTAGCCTGCCCCTCTTGGCCAATTATTATTAATGTACGTAACTCGACGGACCATTGATAAGCAAAAACTTTCAGGAATCCTTAAAAATTTTGCAACATTTTTTGTTTGGCTGTGCAAAACCTTTATTTATTCCGGGTCAAATGGTCTCTGCTAGCTTGCCACAGCCAAAAAATGCTCGATTCCCAAAGAATTTCTGCCAACTCCCATGTGTTTCCAGTTAGTTACTTTTTTCAAATTTTTAGAACTAAAATTTCACAAAATAGAAACTGTTAAAATCGGAGTTGTTATATTTGGTATCTTTTGGGGAACGGCCATACGAAAACACTAAAAACTGAAAACATTATTTCTTCTTTTTCTCTTTTCCTTTCTAATTTTAGGTAGTTCACGTTGGTTTGAATTTAGCAATACATTGAACGTCTAGGCCGTAATAATTCCCCAAATAATCACTGCTAGCCACCCCTCCCTTTTGCAATAAATTACGCCATTAAATTCATTAAATCCAGGGTTTAACGGGCTTTTAGGGATTTCTAAATGCTCACTGCGGGCCTGCCCAGTGGAACTCCCGAACCCCCTTGGAAAATCGCAAATTTAAAGAATCACAAAAACTCGATTTTTTAAAAGAATGATCTTGAAAAATATGCGTAGTCTAAATCGCCTATCTTGTAATAATACAGAGCTAGGAAAAAAAGAAAAATGCTTTAATTGTTAAATTTGCAAATTTACGCGGAGCGCAGGCCGCGCATTTTCTGCCATTCTCTGCTATCCATCCCTGCTTTTTAGAGGCTCCTCAATGATCACTGCTAGCCTGCCCAAGGGAGCTTGGCATTTTGGGAAAATATTGATTTTTCTAAAAATACAGTTTCAATTTTTCAAAAAAGAATGTTGCAAAATATTGTCTAGGTCCAATCGTCAATTTAGCGATAATCATCCATTGTTCCCCGACAAATCAGTTCCCCGACAATTAGGGAATGACCAGAGTTGAAAAACCGCTTCGCGGCTTTTCAACCCTGGCCCCGTCTAGGATCGTTGAAGTTGTTGACTTTGCATAATTCTTGCCGAAAACCGCTCACCAAAAATGAAAGGCGCGTCCTCTCTTCCTTTTTATAAACCATTTCCACTTCCGGCGTATGCTAATTGCTTCCTAACAAAGAGGTTGGCCGAAAACTTTACAAAACCTAATTTTAATATCAAACCAGGGTTGAAAAGCCGCTTCGCGACTTTTCAACCCTGGCGCCGTCTGCGCCCATGATATTCTTGGCTTTGCATAATTTTCTCGGATTCGGATGACGAAAAATGAAAAATGCTCTTTCCGTCCCCTTTATATAGACTGCCGCGACTTCCGGTGCATGCTAATTTGATCCTAACAAAGTGAGTTATCTGATTTTCCATGAAAACTTAATTTTAATGTCGAAAACAGCATATTTTGTAAAATCTAATATAGTTAGGAATTACGGGCTTCCTAGGTCCAAAGATAGCTCCGGGTCCAATCCGCAAAACAAGTGCTCCGGGCGGGGGTCGAACCCGCATCCTACGGCTTTCGAGTCCGATGCTCTCCCCTATTGAGCTACCGAAGCACGCGGAATGCCTCTCTCAGGGCAGCTATCCATGCCAGCCCAACCATATGCGTGCAGTCATCTCCTGTCCATTACGCACCTAATGACGTATCGAACATACCCCTAACTGTAACCGTTTTTTGTTGACCGTGGGATTTCGATACGTGAGATAGCACATTTTGTGCAGAATTTTTCGCTGATTCCGAATCCGTTTTCAAAAGTTGCAGAACCCCTCTAGATAAAAAGTTACAGCCGGTTTTCTACCCCAAATGACCGAAAATTACAAACTTTAAATCCTTATAAAAAACTCATGGAACATTTTGTGGGATAAAATACAGCACTCCTAGGGGTAAAAAAACGTGCTCTTTCGAATGGGCTACCTCACGAACCCGTAGCTCAAAATTCACAAAATTTCAAAAATTGGCCATCCAGGGCATTCTTCCACCGAAAAACTTTTTTTCATGAATTTTGAGCTACGGGTTCGTGAGGTAGTCCATTCGAAAGAGCACGTTTTTTTACCCCTAGGAGTGCTGTATTTTATCCCACAAAATGTTCCATGAGTTTTTTATAAGGATTTAAAGTTTGTAATTTTCGGTCATTTGGGGTAGAAAACCGGCTGTAACTTTTTATCTAGAGGGGTTCTGCAACTTTTGAAAACGGATTCGGAATCAGCGAAAAATTCTGCACAAAATGTGCTATCTCACGTATCGAAATCCCACGGTCAACAAAAAACGGTTACAGTAAGTACTTCCCTTCTTGAGATACTGCTGGAACACGCTGACGGAAGTTGCATGCAAATGCACACACACACACAAACACACAAACTATTTTTTTATACAGGGTGTCCCAAAAAAAAAGCACCCCCCTCTAGCGGCGCGCAGTCGTGTCCGATTTTTATCGTTTAGGTATCAATCGAAAGCTCTTGAAAAGGCGAGAAAACAAGGAGGGTTCATTTTCTTTATTATCTATTTTTATTAGCAAATTTTACGTCCAAAAACCATGAAAACGGCAGATTTACGCGAGATCTGCATGCTAATCGCAAAATTCCTATTGAAAATCTGCCTGTTTTTTAGAAAAACGTTGAATATCCAGCGTATAAAAACAAATCTCATAAAATAAATCACGCTTGTTTTCTCGCCTTTCCGAGAGCTTTCGAATGGTATAAAAATTATCCCGATCTGAGATTCCCCCGGACCGCTAGAGGGGGGGTGCTTTTTTTTGGGACACCCAGTATAGTAGGATACCACCATTATAATTACGTTAAAATAGCACCTTATAATCGCCGGGGAACTGATTGTCGGGGAACTGAACTGATACCTTATTTTCATTTGTGAATTTTTCCAGCGGGCAGGCTAGCAGAGGCAATTTGCGGAAAAACACCTAGCAGAGAGCGTTGGGGGAACGGGTTTTGCCAGCTCAACGTTGGAAGTGGTTGATTATATTCGCTTTTATTTTTATTAGGAATAGAGTAGGAGCATTTCAATACGCCGAAAATATAAAAAATTGAATTGCAAAAATTGAGGGCTCCGCCCGCTAACCCCGATGTTTTCTTTTTTTTTGTAAAAAATGCTGTTTCAAAATTGTACAAAGTTCGCGTCGGCTTCAATTTCGCAGTGTGACCACGGTCTTATAATTTTCTCAAATATTCTCCTTGATCCACCCCGCCCTTTTTCAATCGATTACGTCATTAAATTCGTTAAACACAGGGCTCAACCGGTCTTAGAGATTCCCAAATGTTTACTGCTAGCCTGCCCAGGGAGCTGGAATTTTCGAACGTCTTGTATTTAATTTCAAAGGTTAAAAATTTTTGAGTTTCAAAAAAGAATGTTACAAAATACCGCCAAGGTAAACCCGTCTAAATTAAATTAATATGATCCAGCTTATTGACGTGAATATTTTCATTTATTTATGGCAATTTGGGGCTGGCCGCCGGCTAGCAGAGCCAATTTGCGGAACAGCGGCTAGCATAGAGCATTTGGGGCGAAAATCGAATAAATCGCTTTTCAAAAAGTCCTAATTTTCCTGTAATTTGTAGCCCCACGATAAAAATTGCAGTTTTTAGTCTTCACGCCAGTTTAGCTAATAACATAAAAATCGATATCAGAAAATGCCAAAATCAATTTTTCCTCGCCCAGCAAAGTATTTATTCCGCGTACATTGCTCTTCCAGAAAAAAAACACCAAAAAGGGGGCGTGGCCACAGAAAAGGGGGCGGGGCTTAAAACCGTATGGGGTGGCGTGGCAGAAATTTTTGTGGAATTCGGCCCGTCGTTGAGATGTTGAACTGCTCGAGCGGCTCGTTTCAGTAGTTGAGGCTCATCATCAGCAAGCCGGCCACCATTCCCGCGGTCAGCCAACTGGAAATTCAAGTGTCTCCCTGGAAATGGCTAAACTGGCAGCCGGACTACAGACTATAACTTTTATTTTGAAGCTACAAACAACAGAAAATTTACTAGGCGAAAGACCCGGGTT